TTAATAATGATGGCAGGGTTTGTAGTGAGTTTCAAATTGTAATATCACAATGTAACTTGTAAGAGACTGTTCCTCTAAACATTATCATTTCAAGCCCTTATTTTTTTTTTTTTTTAAAAAGGGGTTCTCAAAAGAATAAATGTCCCTTTTGTGTGTGAGATATTTTTCTGGTGGTAAATGTTTTACAGAAACAAAAATGGGGTACATTTCTGCAACCAAATCAGCCTTAAAAAATTACTGGTTACAGTTAAAATATAACAAATCTCATAGTTTATAAAGTACTGTATAAACTATATTAATATTTATCATTCTGTTACATCAGGGGTGCTTACGTATAAATTTTAATACTTTAAAGTTAAGTAAATATTGACATGGGAACGTCCGCCCAAGCTTTATCAATGTTTTTGTTACTTTCTAATTTTTAACTGGTCAAACATAAACAGCCTTTACACTTGTTGAAGAAATATTTAGACAACTTTGATTGAAAAATCCTGATTGTTAAATCTTGAAGTGAAGAATTGGACGGGAAAAGTGCAACCCTAAAAATAGCAACAAATCTAGAGAATAAATATTTAAGCAATTTGATAAGGTGATCATAATTATGGGTTATATGCAAACGTCAGACATCATCCCAGGGTCAAATGTTATACTGCAAAGGTTTAATGTATTTATTCTTAACAAAATTTAAACAAAAATTAAATTATTTGCCTCCAAATTAAATGCCAGCCACCGTCTCTTGATTGATGCATTAAAACTTTATGAGTTTAGAAAGGTGTTGTAAATTGTCACAATTTGTACTAATAGAAAATATAAATCATACAGTAATTTTTCTTTAAATTTCGACTTTCTAATTTTAGTTTTGATTCTCTCTTATTTTTTTTTAAATTTGTTTATTGAGCTTTTACCTAAAAAAAAATTCAGCCAACCAGCAATAACATAACATTTCACTATTATCATTCAATTCACCACACCCATTTTGTTTTGAAATTTATTTACCTAATGACATGTTATTTTACCAAATCCAATCACTTTCAGCAATTTAATTTCACAAAATCTATTCTATTCACTTTACCACAGTCAATTTCACCAAATCTATTATTTTCACTTTACCACATGATTTCATCATTGTCAATTACAGCAAGTTCATTTCCACTACCAAAGAATTACTTTTTATCAAATATAACATCCCTTCATCATAAAATTTAATACTATTATCAGAATATGTGATATAAAAATTGAACAATTAGTGTAGATCGACTCACTGTTAAGATAAAGTCCTTTCCGAATATACTAAAATACATCAACTAACTTATCACATAAACCTTTTAATATTGAAACAGTGGTTTCAATCACAATGGGTAAATTAAAAAACATAGACAAAAAAAAAGATCTGTCTCAATTAGATATGCATGATCAGGGTCAAGTGGGAGATTAACCGTTGATTATGGCATGTCTATCTATTGTATATTGCAAGCTCGTATCTTTAATTAATCTTAGAAGAGCCCGAGTCAATCCTTTTTGGACATGATATTTGGTAATTTTTTATCAATATTTATCAATTTTTTATCACTACCAGTCAATCAGAAGAAAATTTGCATGGACTTGTGTCAAAACTACTGTATCTCTATATCCAAGAACTCAGGAGATACTTCTGTTTAGCATCAAATATTTAAATATAGTAAACAACTGTAACAAAGATTTGCGTGTCTCCTTATTGTTTTATTGTTTTAATATTTAAGAATGTGTCTTGCCAATTAAATGGGGTTTTAAACACGAAGAATTGTTTACTTAAGACTTTGGTCCTTAGTTAAATTAAAATTAAATTAATTGCTTTCTTTTGGGGCTAATTGCTCTAGGTTCGAATTCAACCAGGGATTTTCATGTGAAGAAGCTAAGAATCTTTTTTATTTTTTTGTTGGGTTTTACATCACACCAACACAGTTTAGATCATATTTTACTGGCGGAGGAAGACCCCAGGTGCCCTTCAGTTCATTATTTCAAGTATCAGATGAAACATAAATATTTTCCCCCTAAGAGTCGGGTCTGGTTAGACTTTATGGCTGTGAACATGGTCAAGAGATTTTTAAAAAACAAGTCTAGTGAAAGCGGATAAATTAATGAGAAAAAAAAGTTTGTAACAATAAAATTTTATGTTCCTTTATTTCCATGATTTAAATCAACCTTCCTGTAACAAAATATCATGTGCATTTATAATTATACTCATGAAATAATATCAGGAAATAACATGTAGTGTATATATTTATAATTTTTTATTCCCTTAATTTTTTACAAAAAAGAATTTTTTTGTTTAGTCATTTTAAGTCAATTAGAAAGATAAGCGGGGAAAAAAGCAACAAAATTTAAGCTTTCAACAATACATTATCTGACAATACATATCTGGACCGAATATAAAATACACCTTTGAGTACTTGATAAGTTGATATCCCTTCTTACAGGGAGAGTTTAAAAGATTTTTTTTTTCTTTATTAAGTAGAGTCTAAAAGTGTTTTTCCTCCCGACAAAAGCAAATATAATTTAGGTGTTATTACTAAATGTAAACATCATAACCGTAGAGTGTCTAACGCAATTCAGCCTACCGCTAATTGATTTTCAAACATATTAAAAGCATGTACCAAAATTTCAAATAAACTTGATACAAAACAAAATCATTGAAAATAAAAATTGTATATTTCACTGGTAAAAGTTGTCTTTATTATATCAATGAAAGATTTTGATGCATTGATACGTATTATTAATTAAAGTGTAACAAAATCATTTAATCTAAAGGAAAAAAAATCTTTATTTTGCTTTTTAAAAGTTTCTTTTTCTTTTCATTTGATCTTGCAGTTCTTATCAAGGGTTTTGAACACAACTTAATTGGAATTTTTTTTTGAAAGAAATAACCTTTTAGTCATATAAGAAAGCATGTTACCTTTTTTAGAGTTTAAATTTCCCTTTTTTACACCACATCCATTCTATCAGAGAAATAATTATAATAATGTTTAACTTGTTTATCTTTAAATAAATCATAAAAACATTACTGTAAAATAAGCATTTTAAGAAATTTTTACCTCTAGGCAATTCAGCAACGTAAATTGCATGCAACGTGAATTGCACATTATAATAATGGAATAATATAACTTCCTTAAATCGTTATCAAGCTAAATATCTAAACTGGACTTTTCCCGTACTTCACTTCAGTGTTGTTGTATTTTTCTGGTCCTTTGGGATCATGGATTCCAGCACTTTCAAGTGCTAAAGTTTGATTACCACTTAAGCCGGTGCTAGGGGGCGTGAGGGTTATTCAACTTTTTCATCATTCCTCATGTACAGACTCAATCAAACCTAGTCTGCAATTTTCATGTAATTTTGTTGTGATTAATAGTAGTAGAATAACATAATTATTATTTAATTCTAATGACATTAATGTACACAAGAGCACCCCTATTAATCAACATAATTGCATAAATCATATCTAGTTAATCACAACTAGAAAGTTGGAAACCATATGAGCCGCGCCATGACAAAACCAACATAGTGCATTTGCGACCAGCATAGATCCAGACCAGCCTGCGCATCTGTGCAGTCTGATCAGGATCCATGCTGTTTGCTTACCAACCATATTACAAGTAGAGAAACTGATGGGAAACGATGGACCCTGATCAGTTTTGCGGGATGTGAAAAAGTTGGTCTGGATCAATATGGTGCAAACGTTTAATTTGGTTTTGTCAGGGCGCAGATCTGATGTTGTTTCCTAAGTGTAGAAAATCCTTACATAAATTTAATGGGAGATGACCCATAACTGTACTTAGGTGAAGATATTTTCAGCCGTACCCTTTAATATTTATTCAACAAAATTTAATAAATCACAAATATATTCCTATCTACGGCACTTGAACAATTCAATGGCTCAACAACGACAATGAACAGTATCAAAACTATATAATTTACATGGACATTAATCATTTTATCCGAGCTACAAAATTTTAAGTGGACAATGCATGCTTTTGTTTGCGGGAATCCCGATATTAAATGATACCGAATAAGATCAGAAACGCTCGTGTGGGTTCGAATATGTTCCCTAAATTAAAATCCATTGTAATAGATAAAAGTTAAACATCTCAGCCGACTATATTTAAAATAATAAACTTGCTACGCTTAAATTGGGTGTAGAAGAGTTTAAGGGATTTCTGAATATCAAAGTACTAAAGTTAAGAAGGTTACATATTAATAAACAGTCTGATCAGGATTTATGTTACACTGCTAGAATAAGCTTGTTATTAAATTTGACTAAGACTTTATAATAGAAAATAAATTTCTTATTACTTCCCTTTATTTACATGAAATGTTAAATTCGGTAATATCTTTATAAATAATGATTTTTGGAACTTACAATATTGATAAATCTTAATTTGAGCATCATATTTATGATAGAAAACCATAAATGGTTTGTGTTACAGAATCTTTAAAGTCACATTTTGCCTAAGAAATTGTTTTTATTTTATCAAAAGCATAATATTTTTAGTGTACATTTATTATTTTTTCCAAAAAATTACTCATTGGCCAATTACCTAAACAATTTATCTTCTCCATCCAAAGCATTTCTGAGGCATAATGGGCCTTTAATCATCACCCTCATTTCCAGCAGAGGGTAAGAATTAAAGACCATTGTGAAAGAAAAAAGTTCAACATCAAATGCTGGCAATGATACATTTTGTAATATGGACATGCCCTGCTTTCAATTTGTAACAGTTGTTCTTATGTAATAGATGTTATCCGCAACTCAGCGGGTTATCCCTCCCCCAGTACAAACAAACTTTTACCACTAAAGCATCATGGTGCACTACTGGTCACAAAAGATAAGTCAACCTGTTGTACTTATTTTCAAAGCTGTAAATGTAAATAAAAAAAGTTTGTTTGTACCCCCAGGAGTCCCTGGGAAAACCCAAATTATCTTAATTTCGGAGCAAGACTATTGATGTTTTATAATCATAACTTACCATATGTGTGTACCAAATCCAACCAGAATGTCTCCTCGTTCATTCGCAAAACATGATGCGTAGATTGGCGTGGCAAAATTCATCTCTCTTATTAATTCATTCTGGTTGCTCCATACCTGATAAGATTTCAGATAGTTTCAAAAATAATCTTTTACATTACATGACAAATATTTTGCACCAATTTCTGGGACACTTGTCTTTTACAAGAACTTCAGGTGGGCGTGTCTGGGTACATTGAAAAGAAAGGGTTTTTATTTATATGTATACTTACTAGCTAGTCAAAAATGTGCTTGCAATGGACATTCCCAAACCCTTAGCAAGGTTAGTGTTAAAGAAAAGATAAGTTTTGTATCAGAGCATTAATTATCAAAACTGAATTTGATACAATATGACTACGATTATACTATAACTATACTATGTTACCTTGACATATCCATCTTTCCCCGACGTCATCACAACATTCATGAGAGGGCATAAATCAAGGGGTGTAACTGGAAAATTAAAGAAAAAAAAAGAAGAAACAATAAATTAAAAACTTTTTTTTAGAATAAAACACATTATCTGAATTTAAACAAATACGTGAATTCAAAAAATTTTTAGTGAGACCCTTTTCTCCCCTTTCTGTGGGGGTGCACTAATCTCCCCTTTCACCTTTGCCAAACTAGTTCCTTTCCTTTTGTTGACACTTTTCTTTCCCTTTGCATGACCTAACTTATATTTTAAAACCTAATATTGACTTTTGCAGACATTTACTTCCCTTGACTTTTGCTGACATTTACCTCCCTTGCATCTTAGCCAACACTTACCTCCCTTGCACCTTAGCTTACATTTATCTCCCTTGCACCTTTTGCCGACATTTACCTCCCTTGCATTTTAGCCACCACTTACCTCCCTTGCACCTTAGCTAACATTTACCTCCCCTGCACCTTTTGCTGACATTTATCTCCCTTGCACCTTAGCTAACATTTACCTCCCCTGCACCTTTTGCTCACATTAACCTCCCCTGCATCTTTACTCACACTTACCTCCCTTGCACCTTAGCTTACATTTACTTCCCCTGCATCTTTGATCACAATTACTTCCCTCGCATCTTTGCTTACATTTACCTCCTTTACACCTTATAGCTCAAATTTACCTCCCCTTGCATCTTTTCTCACATTTACATCCCTTGCACAGGGTTGCCAGCATCATAGATAAATAAAATTCCCTGACTTTTCCCTGACCAAATTATGTTTTTCAATGACTAAAACTACCAAACTTAAACAGTCTCCACCTCCCCTACAGCCGTCCAATTCACCCCAGGGCTTTTTTTCCTTCTATAGCAGGGGCCATTATAGGACTGTTTCCCCAAAAAGAAATTCTATAAAATCATGCAGTTTTCCCACAAAATATAATTTACATCAAGTTTTTTCTTCCCCTTTAGCAAATATACCATTAATGTATCCCCAAAATTAATGGCAGGGCTGCTTCCCCAACCTGTGAATAAAAGCCCTGCACCCATAAGTTTTTTGTTGGTTTTTTTAATGCTTTTAACAATATGGTCAATAAAATATGCTTTATACATCTAAGTTTGGTATTTTGTGTTCAGTAAAATGTTTTTGATAAGATCAAGTCTGAAGCAAAACTATTATCTTGAGCTACAGAATACTGCCATAGCCAATATAATTAATAACAAGAGGGTCATGATGGCCCTGAAATTACTCATCTGAATATAAAAACTCTCCATGAACAAGAATAATTTTGACCCCAGGGCTTTTATTTGAACAAAGTTGGTTAACACCCATTGGAAAATGTTTCATGCCAAATATCTAAGCTCTAGCTCTTTTGTTTTTTTAAAAGAAGACTTTTTAGTTTTTTATATATATACATATAAGGAAAATTAATGACCCCCATGACTGGACCAGTTTTGACCCCAGGGCTTTTATTTTAACAAACTTGGTAGACACTTACTAAAAGATGTTTCATGCCAAATATCACAGCTCTACCTCTTTGGGGTTTTCAAAGAAGATATTGTTTTGTTTTTTTTACTATGAACATAAAAGGAAAATCAGTAACCCCCTGGGGTGGCGCTTATTTTGACCCAAGGACTTTTATTTGAACAAACTTGGTAGACACAGACTAGAAAATGTTTCATGCTTAATATCTAAACTCTAGCTCTTTTGGGTTTGTTACAAGAATTTTTAAGTTTATATAAACATATAAGAAAATCAATGACCCCCTTGACTGGGCAAATTTTGACCCAATGACTTTATTTGTACAAAATTGGTAGACACTCACTGAAGATGTTACATGCTTAATATCTAAGCTCTAGCTCTTAAAAGAGGTGAACATGTTTTTTTTCCAGTTTTTACTTTATACATATAAGGAAAATTCTTCAAAATTATTTTTCCCTGACTTTTCCCTGACTTTTTAGGATTTTTATTCTTCACTGACCAATTTTCAAAATTCCCTGACCTTGAAAAAATATCAGATTTCCCTGACTTTTCAAGTCTGCTGGCAACCCTGTTGCACCTTAGCTAACATTTACCTCCCCCTGCTTTTTTCTTACATTTACCTCCCTTGCACCTAAGCTCACATTTACCTCCCCTTGCATCTTTGCTTTCATTTACCTCCCTTGCAGCTTTGCTCACATTAACCTCCCTTGCACCTAAGCTCACATTTACTTCCCTTGCACCTTTGCTCACATTTATCTCCCCTTGAACTTTTTGCTGACATTTACCTCCCTTGCATCTTTGCTCACATTTACCTCCCCTTGCATCTTATAGCTCACATTTACCTCCTCTTGCATTTTATAGCTAACATTTACCTCCCTTGCATCTTTGCTCACATTAACCTCCCTTGCATCTTTGCTCATATTTACCTCCCTTGCAACAATGCTCAAATTTACCTTCCCTTGCATCTTTGCTCATATTTACCTCCCTTACACCTTAGCTTAGTACCAGTTGGATCCCATGACTTTTGCTGATATTTACCTCCCTTGCATCTTTGCTCACATTAACCTCTCCTTACACATTTTTGCTGATATTTACCTCCCTTGACTTTTGTTGACATTTACCTCCCTTGAACCTTAGCTAAGATTTACCTCCGATGAGTTTTGCTTGTATTTACCTCCCTTTGCATCTTTACCAACACTTACCTCCCCTGTATGATCCTCATCTTCATGGTGTGTTACTTGATGAGCAATCAGCACAAACTTCTTCTGTAATAACTGTTTACTGGCCATTGTCTTTGAGCTTCCCATCTGAATCAACTTGTACATCACAAGTTTACAAGAGTTATGTCCCTTTTTTGATACTGTTTGTGTGGCAACCCACACATTTGTTGAGTACATACTGATGTGTAATGGTACTGAAGGGAGATAAATCTGAAATAAACATTAACATAAGGGATATCTAACTAAGGGAGACAAGTCTAATATGAATATTTATAGAGATATTCATCCAGGAGAGATAAATCTAAAATGAATATTAACAGAGATATACACCTAGGGGAGATGAATCATAAATGAATATTAACAGATATACACCTAGGGGCGATAAATCATAAATGAATTATAGAGATATACACCTAGGGGAGATAAATCTAAAATTAATATTAACAGAGATACACTTAGGGGAGATAACTCTAAATGAATATAAACAGAGATATATACCTAGGGGCGATAAATCTAAAATGAAGGTTTACAGAGAAAAACAACTAGGGGAGCTAAATCTGAAATGAAGGTTTACAGAGAAAATCACGGGGCAACTTTTTACAGCTGCCACACGACACTTGACAAGTACAAACATCTGGAAAAGGGGTGAAACCATGATGTCTGTCTAAATTAAGAACTGTAAGTAAGATACATTTTTACCTTTAAAACTTGACAAAGATTTATGATAGGCCTTCTATCATCCGATATGATCTGTAAGTTCCAAATTTTAACATATTTGTCTGTCCCACCGGATATAATCACGCCAACGGTATCACTGCTACCAAAATGTCCGGTGTCCGGTGAATGTAGGCAGTTTTGCAGACAGACTATAGAGCCCTCGTGTGCCTGAACAGGATCTTCCATAGAGCACACTACTGCATCGCATAATAAAATCTAAAAATAGATTCATAATAAAATCTAAAAATAGATTCATAATAAAATCTAAAAATAGATTATTACAAAAAAAGTAAGATTAATTCACTGCTCTTTAAAACAGTGCTGAAATATAAAGTTTTTTCTTTCACTTTTGCAAAATATCACATTTTATGAATGACCCCTTCTTCTGACTGTGAAAAAGTCCTGATTATGCAGCATCATTCACATACTTATGTGTGCTGAAATGTATAAAACAACCTTAAATGGTTTAAATTGTTTTCTGTATTCTGTAATATTCCAACATTTTTATATAAACAGAATGTGTTTTTTGCGTATCTATACAGCTTAAAACAGACTTATAATATACTTTCAGCTTTCACTCCTGTTAAAAACTTTCCAATTTGTGTAATGTATTTGCCCAGCTTCTAATTTTGAACCGTCAGTTTCAAGTGTCAGGGATATCAGTATTAAAATATAAAAACTGAGCTACCAACAGTTTAGAATGCACAGATAATGCAGGTTGGCCTGACTCTAAACTGCTGTAAAAGCCTTATCACTTTTGGTTCCAGCAGGTTAAAATATAAACTGGCAGAGATCCAAATTTGAAGCCGAAGATATTCATGAGACAAATAACAGTGGCAAGAGTGTTGCTTATTAATGCAGTTATAGTTTAGATAATTAAAAAATTATCTCACTTGTCCATTTTTGAGCCCAGCAAACACCAAATTATCAACATCCGTCCCGTCTTCACATGGAAATTCCTGAAAGAAAAAACATAAAAAAAATCTGAAAACTTAGCCTGTGTGTGTGTATGTAACATGTACTTCCACCCAAGAATTTATAATAATAAAAATGATAATATGCTGGTAACAAGCAATGCTTTAAGCCCTTCTAGGTGAGCGCCCTTGCCAAAATAAGTGTGCTAAACATATATTTTGCGCATATTAAAGTGTTTGTTAAACATACATTAACGTTTTTCGGAAAGGGCAGTTTTTTATCTGTGTTTTGCAAAAAGCAAAAAAAAAAAACAAAGAGCAAAAAAAAAAAAAAACAACATATTTAAACAAACTTTCTTGAAAGATATTGACTGTACTGAAAGTGTGCAAAAAGCACTTTAAAAGTTGAAAATGTGAAACCTTTTCTTTGGTTTCAATGACTTTCAGCCTCAGGTTACTGAGATATAATTATAGTCTTCGTGAAAAGACAACAAAGGGACATAACCATTGGAGAAGTCACACTATTTTTTAATTAAACCTGATTTCTAAATCAGTTGTCAGAGACAAATGATCACTTAAATACACAAGGTTCAAGATCAATCATCACAAAGAAATCCCGGGAGCACTCAACCAGCTACCAATGGTTTACATATTGAGCTTAAAACGTAGACAAAGAGAATAGGACAGACAGACAGACAGACAGACGGACGGACATATGAAATGACAGTATGCTTATATCTCAGATGAGACCCATTCATGAGCAGAGGTCCTAATGTGTCAAAATTTTATTTACACAAGTCCCTTAAGCTTCGACTTACCGAAGTTCTACTGTATATATCTCAGCTGAGTTGAATGAAGAATTAACTTACCACGGTAACTAGAAGTAAGATGTTGACATGTTCATCCTCAGTTTTAGGTACCCACAGTTCTACTGCTTTGCACGGGTTTGTTGCAGTGTTGTAAACAATAACTTATATTGGAAAGAATGAAAGAGAGAGTGAGAAACAAAAAACAGATAGATAGAAGAAGGTATAGTTGTTTTTAAACCTTAACCTGTTGGTAGCCTTTGTCACAAATATAAAACCTGGCTAGCCTGCACACCAGTGTGACCAGGCTCTATACTGTTGGAATGCCTATTTTTTATATTTTGATATTGAAATCCCTTAAATTTTGAATAGACTGTTTGAAAATTCAAATTTAGGCAAATCCAATTTATAAATTCAATAGGTAAAGGGTTAATGTTAAAGATACATGTTAGAAGAGAAAGAGAGGGTGAAAGTGAGAAGGCAGCAGTGTGAATAAGAGAAAAGATTCCAGCATAAAAAGTAGCAAAATGCAAGAAATGAACTCTGGGGTCGTACTTTCAGTGCCTGAACCCTCATTTAGCATAGAATACACACAGAAATGAACTCTTGGACCTTCATCCCTCAGGTAAACATTCTGTCACTTCATTCCTCCATATAAAAGCTTGTTCTATAACAATGAAGCATCTTGGGGTGTGGGGGGGGGGGGAATGTCCAAGAATTACAGAAAGAAAACTCAGAATTTAAATATCTTTGTATAGCTGTTATAAACATAATGATACTGTTAAAACCAGAGTAGCGTTAATGTAAAATTTGATTATAACTATAAATATAAGATACCTTTTCCCCCTGTTAACACAGTGTGTAACTTCTCCTGATGGATGTCATAGGCAAAAGACATTAACACCTAGAAAAATACAGATTTACAAGCATATTATTCAAATTCTTTAATGAACTATAACCACTAAAATAGAAACAGAAGTCATGGTTCAGTCATAGAAATCAGTACTGAAATTCACAAGCAAGTCAGGCAATTTTCCAGTTTTTTTGCTAATTTTGACCGCTGATTTGAAACAAGATTCGTCTTGTGGACAGCACCCTTGACCATTTTTAAACTTGAAAGTAGTAATGGTATGACATATGAGAAGTAAGTTACCATATAATACCGCACATTTGTAACATCGCTTTAAATCGTATAACCGAAACTTTTATATAGTTTTATATTATACCTCAATTGCATACACCCTTCTATATTTAATATGATGTCATCCGGTCCATAAACCGCATACAGACCGGGGGGCAGTCCATAATTCTTATATGGACTGGATGACGTCATATTAAATATAGAAGGGCGTATGCATATGAGGTATAATATTTTACTTTGTTGTTAAATGGTTCATTTTACTGAATTTATTGCTATGTTTGCACATAAATTTATTACATGATGACGAAAAATGAGCCGCGTCACGACAAAACCAACATAATGGGTTTGCGACCAGCATGGATCAAGACCAGCCTGCACATCCGCGCAGTCTGATCAGGATCCATGCTGTTCGCCATCAGTTTTTCTACATGTTATAGGGTTTGTAAGCGAACAGCATGGATCCTGATCAGACTGCGCGGATGCGCAGGCTGGTCTGGATCCATGCTGGTGCAAACACATTATGTTGGTTTTGTCATGACACGGCTCAAATCATGATTGTCTTTAAATTGAATATAAATTTTATTTATACAGTTTATGAAAATCTTAAAGTTCAGGCTTTTTTCCGCCTGTTTAATTTGATTAACAAAAATTGAAAAACAAAAGAAGAGCATGATTTTTTTTTTGCTGTATCTCTTGAAAATAAGAATAAAAAAATCTGACTAGGGTTTGAAATATTTCACACACTGAACAAATAAATTATTATTTGAAAGCAAATTATAGTAAAACTGACAGCAACAAAAGGGATGAAAGGATTTAGATTCGGTATAATATAACAAATAAAACATGGCCTTTCACGCAAAATGGAAGTTTACAGACTGGTTGGTCAGACCTCGGGCCATATACCTCAGCTACACTTCGGGCCATATACCTCAGCTGCAATTCGGGCCATATACCTCAGCTACACTTCGGGCCATATACCTCAGCTACACTTCGGGCCATATACCTCAGCTGCACTTCAGGCCATATACCTCAGCTACACTTCGGGCCATAAACCTCAGCTGCGCTTCGGGCCATATACCTCAGCTACACTTTGGGCCATATACCTTCCTCAGTCTGACCAATCAGTCCGTAAACTTGCATATTGCCCTCAAGGCCATGTTTTATTTGTTAAATAAACACACCTGCTGTCAATTTTTTAAACAAATTTTCTTTTTCTCTAAAAAATTTGCTGAATTATGAATTGATAAATTGTTTACTAGTATTCTTGACAGGTTATATTAGATGGCCATATATAAATGGTTGTTTGCAATATTTCCCTTTCCACTATACAAACAACCATCTATATAGGGTCATATAACCTGTCAACAAAATCTTTATAACTAATAATACATGCATATTGGTTCAACCAAATGAATTCTTATTGGCAGATAGTAAATATAAAACATCAAAGTATCAGAGCGTTTTTCTCCTTTTTAAACTTATGAAAAGGAAGAAAAATTCAAATTCAATTTTGTATATTGGCTGAATTTAGTAAGTAGTCATTACAAACGTGCATAGTATTCGCCATCTTCCAGTGAAAGATAATCCGTTTCCCTTTTAAAATTACCAAATTATTCCCCCTTTCAAATAAACCCGGGAAAAGGGACTTTAAAAAAGATTTGTTTTTATTTTTGGGTTTTTTTGTACAGAAACGGACATTTTTTTTTCCCTTTGTTTAAATTTGCTTTCTATAATATATGGTTCTAGGTAAACATATAATTTAGGAAACAAATGAATTTTCTAAACCCAAAAGTAAAAAAAAACCACAGCTTTGCTGTCATCATGAAAACAAATTTAAAATCATAAAAAATTTTGAGAATTTTTTTGACACAGTTTAAAAAAAATATATAGGAAAACTATATGAAATTAAATGTGTATTGTTTTAATGTGTTTGTCTAAATTTTTTTATTTGAAAAAGCCAGTTACTTAGTGTCGTTCACGTATAGCGAAAGTTCGTAAGTGTAGTCTGACAAGACACCAGTGAAAATATGGAAAATATATTTCACTGCAGTGAAAAATATTTTTTTACAAGTAAAATACAGAAAATAAAAATAAGCACTTTATTTCATCAATATTTCTCAACATTTCATTTATAAGTATTTAATAAAAAAAAACATTTAATCTCAAAAAGTTGACAAAACATGAAATAGATATTATCATAAAATTAAGGTTACCTGGAAGGATGGCATGGGATAGATGATGGTCAAGGTCAGACCAGTAATTGGTGAGAATAAACGTACACTTCCATCCTGTAATATAATATATCACAAAGAAAATTTACCTTTTATACCAATAATTGTTATAAGATTTAGTGAGTAATTACTGAAAAACAAAATTAACTCACATTTAAAGGAACTCCACTCAGGTCCAAAAGCCAAAAAGAAAACATCAAATGGAACATAAATCTTCAAAAATTATTTTCAGTCCGGCCTTCATGTCAAAAAAACCTTAGTAGAGTCCCTTTCAAAATATAATTTCACAGAAAATTTGCATATTAAGGGGCATAACTTTCTCAATAATAAATAAATTGATTGCAAAAAGAAAAAAAAGTTGGCCTTTGTTTTGACATAACCCACTTGCATTTAAATATAGAAACAGTCAGTGAAATAACTTCAAGTTATCTAACGGAAACCAACAATTTCACAATAATGAGCAGCGTCATGACAAAACCAACATAATGGGTTTGCGACCAGCATGGATCCAGACCAGCCTGCGCATTCGCGCAGTCTGGTCAGGATTCATGCTGTTCGCTATCAAAATTCTCTACTTGTTGTAGAGTTTGTAAGGGAACAGCATGGATCCTGATCAGACTGCGCGGATGCGCAGGCTGGTCTTGATCCATGCTGGTGGCAAACCCATTATGTTGGTTTTGTCGTGACGCGGCTGAATTAACTAAAAAAAGGTGAGATAACTTGCATCAATAATGTGTTGATGGCAGCAAATATTCAACTTAATCTGTGTTTTGATACAGCATATTTACATGGCAAATATACACACAATCATTAATATCCTTCAAAAGATAATTATCCTCCTGACTAAAATGTCTACAGACATACAGACAGACAAACAATGCTATACAATAATATGTCCCAAAGAACATTTAGGCAAATAAAAAGTATTTAAATTTTTGTATCAATTTTGCCTTTTTGCAGTCTGTTTTGCAGACTTTACCCTTGTAAGATTATGGCTGTGAGAAAGTCTGAATAAAAAGTACTGGCTACATAAAATTGAAAGAAACTCAAGTACCTCAGTTGAGGCCAATATTCGGCTAGGTCGGTCTTTGGCTCTACAGCACATTAACCTTTTAGTTTCTGATTCCACAGGAGCAAAGAATTCATAGAACTATACAATAAAAAAATATATCATAAAATTACGACATAAATAATAAGTTAAACACAATTTTATTTTCCGAAGTAACATTATTGTTATGTTACAAAAAGAAATTAATGGATCTGTATTAAAGTACATTAAAGTGCATTTTCCATTCTCTATTATGAACATCTGGTATCAATTAAGACCTGGCTTCTCCATAAGACAATGGTTTGAATAGCCGAGTACAAATCAAACTAGAGCTATCACTAAAGGTGATTCATACCCCCCACCAACAACGAAGCAAAATTTGAACTCAACCTTTATCATATGAGGTTTCATTAGTGTACCAATAATTATTACAATTAATTGCCTTTCTTCCAGAAACCGTTTTTCTATTTTTAGTAACTGTGACCTTGACTTTGAACCTAGGGAGTTCAACAACAATCCCTAGCTAGTTCTTTTTGATAAACTTGCTAAAATGCCAAGTTTTATTACAATATCTCATTCCTTACTCTAGTTATCGTCCGGGAACTCTTTTACTATTCTTAGGTCTTTCTTGACCCAAGGAAGTCTAAAAGCAATTTCAATGGGGTTTTTCACATAAGGTTGCTATATACCAAGTTTGATTACATTAACTCATTCAAAACTCTAAAAACCATGAAGCCAACCGACTGACTGACCGACAAGCTGACTCCTATATACCCCCCTAAATTTCATTTGTGAGGGTATCATAAGTAAGTCCCTGCATTGTACAGAAAGAGGTGTTCAATAAAGTTCTCAATGACATTTTGCTAAAGTCATTTTAAATACCGTGTTTGAACAATTTCATATTTACCTGGTGACAGCTGTAAATCATAATGTTTTTTTCTGTATAGAAATAAAATTCTGTGTTGCTAAGCAACGCCATGTGATAAACTTTCTCTCCAATGTCAAGACTCATAAACTGTAAATAGAAATATTCAAAAAATGTAAAAATACACTTAAGGGCTGGGAAAATCTGATTTTTTTACTGAAGCATTTTCTTTATTATGTCGTCATGGTATTTATAAAGTGAATTCTGGGAATAACAGGCTGTGCTGTGGGACAACCTGGGCAATTATACTGACTAATGATTTCTGAGGCGCAATGCCCGGGTGTAGATTTTCCAGGGTAAGCCTGGAAGAGAGGCTGGTAAACCCTGGAAAACTATGGAAAAGCATGGAATTCCATGGAAATTCATGGAAAATTGGTATTTTTTCCATGCTAAATGGACTTTTTTTGTCCAGCCATTTCCAGCATTGCTAGAATAGGGAACGATCTGAGATAAGCATCGTATACGTCACTGATAAGAGACCTGTGCTAAAAATAGCCACATATCGATAACTTTCGGACAAGAAAACTGGTTAATCTACATGTAGAATTATACAACATGTAATGTTAAAGAGATCTTTTATTCACATTTCTCTCAATGGAAATGATGTTCCTGGAAGTTAAACTTTCGTAAAGCATGATTGAGATGGTTTAAAACCATACAGGAAAATAAAGATGAAATGGTGAAAAAGAAATAAAACTTTGGGGCAATACTTTCCTGCTGATGTCAATATTGAGAAAAATGCGGCGCTTGGCAATTTGTTTTTTTTTTCACTGTTTATCAAAAATTATGATAATGGTGATTATGAATATGGTATGATTTTTAAGAAATTGGACTAAAATTGAAAGAGTATCTTTCTGTCCCAGGTATTACCGTTACAAAAATTTGTTTTTATCAATACGCAGATTGGAGAAGTCATGAATGCTATCCACAAAAGTGCTATGAGTGAATTAGATTAACTGATTAATATCTTAATGTCTGTAAATAATTTTAGAATAAGCCAAAACTCTGCATTTTCCTATTTTTCACCTTAATAAAAATGCCGAGATTTTAGTATTTATTTGTTATCAGAAAAAATGTATACGTACATGATGCTTGTCATGTATATTTTATAAATTGAATTGACAATTGAAGTGTCCGTGATTTACCATACACTGTTTACTATATAGACAATAAAAATACATTGTTTTTTTTTTTTTATGTCTCACAAACAAAATATTTTGGTTGTTAAAATCATCGCCAATTACTGGTTTGTTTTACTTGACAAGGGTGTAAAGATGTATATAGAGACCAGAGCAGATTGTGACATTATTGTTTAAATTTAACTTTAAAAAAAGTAAAAGGTTGGTTTGGTAGTTGTCCCTTATCTTTTCACACTAAATTCAATTTCCAACTTGTTTGCATTCTACAATTTCTTGAAATAATTGCATGGTAAACACAGTAAATATACCGCTGAATTAACATCAAATGTATAATGTGTACTCCTTAATCCCTTGTCCGAAAGTCAGTACAGGTGATGTAGTGGTGATTAGGTAAAATCTATTTTTAGAACAGTGTTAGCTTCAGATCGAAGGCTATAGGCTGGAAATTGGCTGGACATTTGTGGTAAAAGACTGGAAAACCATGGACTTTACTTCCATATCGCAATAGGAAAGGTTGATTAGCTTAGATTTTTTTTGATGCGTTGGAAATTGTGTTTTAAACCTTTCTCCAAGTATGGCTGGAAAAAATTATCAACAAGAAATTTACTTTATATATCTTCAGTCAATATTGTTAATTTTACGAAAGAAAATATACAATCATGACATTATTTTAATGCAAGTTAACTGTAAATGGTTTGAAATTTTGACACTTTATAGCATTTCATGTAGTTTTGGAAAAAGGGATCTCAGAAAAAAATGTCTATGCTAAAGACGTAAATGAATTGATTGCTCCAAAATACATATTTAATTATTGAAATAAATCTACATGAAGTTATGTACAATGAAATAATATCCACGTAATTACAGGCTTTAATGTTGAACTATAAATTAATTAAAGTCTGTGATTAAATCATTCAGCACACTATAATAAATCAAGATTGGATTTGCATTGCTTGCTATTTTTAAATTCTAAGAATTTCAATGTTTTTGGATAACAATTAAATAAATAAATAAAATAAACAAACAAAACAAAACAGTGCATGAAAGAATCTCATATATTCTTTATTAAATTGATCAATATTTAGGAAAAATAAATACTACATCCACTGAGATTTTACACTACACAGATCAGAGCTCTGATAAAAACTCATTGAGCCAGCATTTGCCCACCATCTGTGCAAGACTAAATTTACTCCACCTGGTCATTCCGACAGATCAGGCTGTTCCATGTGATTATTTGGGGAGAGATAACATTTATAAATTTCATATGCAGAATGTGTCTAGAAATGGACATTGCAATCTTTTTTGTACAAAAATATTGTAAAAATTTGTTAATTGATCTTGTAAAAAATTTATATATCTTATTAGCTATTTTGATATTTTCTTTAACGCTCAATAGAATAAAAGTTAAAAATGATGAGTAGATTAACCTGGCTTTACATAATGATAGACTGCTGTGTGCCAGTAAACTGTTGTAAATTTTGAATTCTAAGATATTCTGGGTCAGCAAAGATGTTGCAAATTACAGAGGATGTACTTGATATTTTAGCAGTTTTGGATACATTGTTTTGTTTTAACGATTTTAAAGTGTTTAGTATTGGTATGATACAATGCAGGATCACCTGGGACAAGGATGCCAATATACAACAGAATACACGGTATTTTAATAAACCTTAAGTTTACATCAATTGCATGAAAACAGGTTATATATATAATATATCAAGCATTTGTACTTTATAAGAGATCAAGGTTGTTTTTATATTTTCAGCTTCATGCATTTGTTTTTCTGATAATTGTTTTTAATCTATACATGTATAATCTGTAAAATATAAATTATTCAATGATTTCTATATAATAATTGTGTTTATTATATAATCTATAAATAGCTTTGAAATGCCTTTTATGATTGGCTAAGAAGCAAATTTTGTAAAAAAAAAAAATGACAGGTCAATATCAGAATATATTCACTGATTTTTTCCTGAAAATAGATTCTCAGAGTATATTTTTTACCGTTTTTTCTCTCTAAAAATAGATTTTCTGGAAATCCCTAAAAAGACACGAGACTTTGACGTGACATCACGCCAAGTTTGTTGTTATTATTCTATATTTTATATACTAAAAACGTTGAGTGGGGTGTACATAAGAGTCAAATTAGTCTATTTTAGTTACCGTTTTACATTTTTAAGAACAATGGGATTAGCATGCCAATGGAAAGGGCCAAATTATGGAAACAGTAGACAAGCTGAGAAAAATAATGATTTCCGTTGTATGCAATGGCAGATGTGATAAGCCATATAAAAGCTATTTATAAATTATATAATAAAACAGATATGTACTTTTTAGCTGTTGAATATGATGTGATATGTACTGAAAAATTAATATTGACCTCGGCTATCGCCTCGGTCAATATTAATTTTTTCAGTACATATCACATCATATTCAACAGCTAAAAAGTCCATATTTGTATAATATGCAATAAAACATAGTTCATTACCACATCTGTGTTTAATTTATTATGAATTTTACCTTTAAAGGTAAGCACAACCACAAGAAGTTCTAGAAAACACAGGCAGAGGACTAAAAATGGACATCGATAAAAGAAATAGTAATTTAAATAATCAGAAACACTTTAAACAAATTTAAGATAAAACAGTTTCTCATTGACAGATTAAGAGCAAAATAATTGCTAAAAGCAAAGTGTTGGATTCTAAGACAACCAGAACCTACCAAACCTGCAGCTGGAAAAAAACTGTTTGTGCTATAGTGAATGTAGGATGTTCTATTCTGTATTTGGACTAAAGGATATGTATTAAATTTTGTGAAAGAAATATGTGATCATTTTAAACTAATAAAAATTCCACCTCAAACATTCCTGTGCTGAATTCCATCAGAGAATTTTACATTTTAAGAACATTCAGGGATGCTGGAATTAGGCTGGATTTTTTTCCATGTTATTCCATCAAGGCTGGACTATTTTACCATGGTAAAAAGTCCAGCCTCTATGGTTAGCAGACACATGGAATACCCTGGAAAAAAAATCCATACTTTTGTTCGCAATACTCCATTGTACATGGAAAAGCATGGAATAAAGTCCATGCTTTTCCATGGAAAACATGGAAAAATATTCCATGCAGCATGGAAAATGTTCCATGTTTTTTCCCTGTTTTTTCGAGCCCATTTTTTTCTCAGCGTCAGGCTGGAAAAGGCTGTGAAAATTTCGTTCCCAATACTCCAGCCTCTTATTTTCCATGGAAATTCCTGGAAAAGCATGGACTTTTTTACACCCGGGGGGGGGGGGGGGGGGGGGGGGGGGGGGGGGGGGGGGGGGGCTTGTAAAAGTTTAAGAATCCTTTTAGAATGTAAAAATAATAGTCTTGTCATCACTAAATTTGTATATTAACAAATTAACAAACCTGTCCTGCTTCGTCAAGAATTGTTCGAAAGTATATTTCATAAATCAAAAACCTAAAACAATACAGATTGCAAGTTGATGTCACCAATTTATCTGCAGTTATAACTTACCATGATACAGACTCAATGTGATACCTTCCCAACATATCATTTTAATTTCAAGCAGCCTAAATTACACCTCTAATAAAGGGCACAGGGGCTAGTCACATAATCAAATATTTTACATAACCGGTCTATATATGTATATAAAGATATCTTATTATAGTGTATATAGCCCATATAAAACTTTAAAGTTTGTTTCAAGCACCTGTGATAAAGGGCAATTCAAAGACGTCCTTAAAATTTACACTGGTTGTCAGCAAATTTTTTACACCCTGAAATTCCTAGCCATTCTAGGGTTGAATAATTTTTTTAAGCGTATGTAACACATGTCAAACATTAAACCAACAATTAAAAAACAATTTTCTGTCAAAATTGACTTTAAAGAAGCATGCCTCCATGTTCATGCAAATATTCATGAAAATGTATTTAAAGGTAAAATATTGTGCCAGGGACAAAAAAAGTAATTTACACATTGCAAACAGCATTTAATACAACCCAGGTAATCTTATTTACCAATCTGTCATTAATTGCAACATATATAAATTACTTGAACCTGATTATTTTTTTTAAAACCTAAGTACATTTTTCTAAAGTTTTTTTTTTTTTTAAATATTTTGACTAATATGGAGGCATGTAGCTTTTATATATATTTAGGACCCACACAGAATGATTCAAATGTAACGTACAAGTTGCATGCTATCAACTCGCCAGATCCTTACAGTACCGTCATGTGAGGAGGAGAATAGTAGTGCATCTTTTATCTGCGGCTGAATATCTGAAATAGTCACAAAACAATTAACCATAAAATACTGTTAAAATTTATAGTTTGAATATTTGAAATAGTCATAAGTCAATTAGCATAAGATACTGTTGAAATTTATAGTTTAAATACAAAGAGGTACAATTTACATAAAATACTGTTAAAATTTATAGTTTGAATATTTGAAATAGTCATAAGTCAATTAGCATAAGATACTGTTGAAATTTATAGTTTAAATACAAAGACTGGTTTATAATAAATAACAAGGTTCATTATAAATGTTATATCTTGGTTTACATGTGATTTACTTTCGTTGCCATAAGATGTAAATACAGTAGAACTTGAACTTGAAGGGACTTGCGTAAAAACTTTGACACATCAGGACTTTGACTCATGAATCGGTCTCATCAGAGATATATGCATACTGTCATTGCATGTGACAAAATTTCGAGCCTTGGAAATTTACAAGCCAGTTACAAAAGGCATAACAAAAGGAAAGGGCGATAACTAAACTATTGTAAATGGCCAAAGGCATAAAAAATTGTTGCTGATTGCCAATCAACTGAGCTGAACTGAAATCATCTATTTCTTGTATAATATCTTGTTAATGCAGTTAAAAGCATTATTAAGATATGAAGGGAGGGTACAAATGATGAGTAAAGATTACCTGAAATAAGTCCATTATGCCCTATAAATGCATGCAGTAGATTGAAGGCTGTTCCATTAAATACCTGAATAATACAATGTGAAAATTTCCTTAGCTGTTACCATATCAATGAACAAAATTTGGCAATTACTGTATGAGTGGATATTTCCGTATGTCGAAAAGTTAGTGAATTTATAATTTCTGACATTTCACATGAGGAAATATTAGCGAATCCTGCAAGGGTAGAGTTTAATGATAGGTTGGTTGATATTTACACTAGAGGAAACTTAGGAATTTTTGTCAGTTCGCCCATATTTCCACATTGCTAACTTAATCACTAATATAGTATGAAATTCAACTGTACAGTCTCATATACTTGTTCCTATTTTTCAATCATGCAGTATTTTGATTAAATATATTCAGTATTGTAGCCATTAAACTCCTTAATATTTGACAGATATTACGTAAGAAAGTATGATTATTGTAATTATGTTAATCTGTATAATTCTTTAACATCTTCACAGAAATACTAACCTTAATTTTACCGTCAGATCCCCCAGTTATCAGAAAGTCATTTGGATGGTAATAACAACAACTGAAACAGATAACAAGACACATATTATCTTTTAGTATTACAATCTTAAATCTAAATCTACATGTATAACAGTTTTAAACATGATACATTATACATTATTGACCTTATCATGTTTTAATGCAAAAAAAGCTTTAAGTGAGCAGCTAATTGTTAGTATGACCAGGGCTGCGTTTCATAGAAACACTGCTTAATTTATAACATGGACTTGTCAAGTTTTAAATTTGATACCTATGGTATATACCATTATTGACCTTATTATGTTTTAAGGTGATGCCGCATTGTCAGCTATGTTCGACTTTCACCAAGTGGGTACTGCAAAGTGAAACAGTGATGTTTCTCACTTAATTGGAAAGAAGCCTTAGCCTCTTGATTTTGTGAAAAAAAATTATCGCTAAAATTGCTCACTTGGGAAATAAAAAGCAGGTTTAAGTTCAGATTTCTGGGAAAACTGCCAGATTTTAAAGAAAATGTCAATTGGGAAAAGGCATTTTATCAGAGTCTGTTATATAAGCAGGAAAATCACTGTGAAAGTGCCATTTTTCATATAAAGACAAAGCTCACAATGTTAAACGATAAACTTCCTTGAATGCGCTGAATTTCTTAAGACCAAGTAAAAATCTGTGGCAAGGTTTTATGTCCATTTCATGAATGGTAAAATCACTTTTAAAGTTTGTTGTCGTGCAGTGGAATGTAATGTTTTGCTTTATATGCAAATAGGCGTACTTTCACTTTGCACACTATGACTTAGTGAAAATGGCTGACAATGCGGAATCACCTTAATGTAATAAAGCTTAAAGTGAGCAGCTAATTGCAGACTGTATGAAATTATCATTTAATTTAGGAAATAATACACTGAAGTACAAGTCAATGTTTAGCAACTCATTATGGTTTGTAACCATTTCACTCTTAATTAGCTAGTGACAACTGATTCTACTTTGTGTGACCAGTGCTGACCAGCCGTCACATCCTTATCATGGTCTGCACTGTTTCTCATTCCATCAATATCTAATTTCTACAAACTTTCCCAAAAACTGACAGTTTTTCTTGCATATCACGTTGGCATTTCCATTAGTTTCACCCATGCCAAACATTTCATCTGCCAGATGAGTCGCATGCTGCACAATATGGCATGCTTAGGATGACGAAATTTTAATGTTATGATTTAAGTTGTATTTTCATACGCTGTTGTAAGAAAATAGTTACGGGTGTAATGACATAAATTTCCATATTATTATGGTAAAAAGTTTAAAATATAATGGAATAATTGGTAGAAATTTATGCAAGAAAAAGTATCTGATATTTGTTTGCGGTTTGGATCAGAATATCTGTCCCTCGGGAACCCGCCCATGGATATTCCAATCCAAACCGCAACATATGACAGATTTTATTAGTCCATATTGTCCATATAGAAAGTAGAAAAGTTCATTTCAGATATCGATTGTGATAAGGATTAAACAGATGTTGTAATGGATGTACCCAAAATGACAAAGCAGAAACTATTTACCATGTTAGTGGACCATCATGTCTGTTTGGCAGTCTGTGCATCTGTTTCCTTGTCTACAATATAAATACCAAGTGAGCAAATGAACCCAACTATCATAAATATAATATTGTATCCAATATAATTAATGTCATATTGTATCCAATATATCATAATTGTATTATTGTATCAAATATTTATTATATCATAAATGTAATATTGTATCCAATATATCATAAATGTAATATTGTATCCAATATATCATATATGTAATACTGTATCCAATATATCATACATGTAATACTGTATCCAATATATCATAAATGTAATACTGTATCCAATATATCATACATGTAATACTGTATCCAATATATCATAAATGTAATACTGTATCCAATACATCATAAATGTAATTTGGTATCCAATATATCATACATGTAATACTGTATCCAATATATCATAAATGTAATACTGTATCCAATATATCATACATGTAATACTGTATCCAATATATCATACATGTAATACTGTATCCAATATATCATAAATGTAATTTGGTATCCAATATATCATACATGTAATACTGTATCCAATATATCATACATGTAATACTGTATCCAATATATCATACATGTAATACTGTATCCAATATATCATACATGTAATACTGTATCCAATATATCATAAATGTAATTTGGTATCCAAAATATCATTCATGTAATACTGTATCCAATATATCATAAATGTAATTTGGTATCCAATATATCATAAATGTAATATTGTATCCAATATATCATACATGTAATACTGTATCCAATATATCATAAATGTAATACTGTATCCAATATATCATACATGTAATACTGTATCCAATATATCATAAATGTAATTTGGTATCCAATATATCATAAATGTAATACTGTATCCAATATATCATAAATGTAATACTGTATCCAATATATCATACATGTAATACTGTATCCAATATATCATAAATGTAATTTGGTATCCAATATATCATAAATGTAATACTGTATCCAATATATCATAAATGTAATACTGTATCCAATATATCATACATGTAATACTGTATCCAATATATCATACATGTAATACTGTATCCAATATATCATAAATGTAATACTGTATCCAATATATCATAAATGTAATACTGTATCCAATATATCATACATGTAATTTGGTATCCAATATATCATAAATGTAATATTGTATCCAATATATCATACATGTAATTTTGTATCCAAAATATCATACATGTAATTTTGTATCCAATACATCATACATGTAATACTGTATCCAATATATCATAAATGTAATTTGGTATCCAATATATCATAAATGTAATTTGGTATCCAAAATATCATACATGTAATTTTGTATCCAATACATCATACATGTAATACTGTATCCAATATATCATAAATGTTATACTGTATCCAATATATCATAAATGTAATTTGGTATCCAAAATATCATACATGTAATTTTGTATCCAATACATCATACATGTAATTTTGTATCCAATAAAAACTAAGTAACAGATGCAAGCATATGTCTATGTCTTAGAATCAAGCTATAAATCAAATCTGTACATAAGTAACAAAATTATTACAATTGGACAAAAATTCAATAATTTGTCATGGTCAGTTCAGCCTTTTAGAAGCATTAGTAATGAGTATTTTTTTATCATGATCACTGCATAAATAAGAAGCAAAAGTACCGAGGGTAATCTGATTTACAATCAATCAATAAGTATAAAGCTGTTATTTGGATTAGAATCAAAGATCACTTCTTTGATCTATTGATTGCTCTATATTTTTACCCTTCAGAAAGCCGCAGAGCAAAATTTTTAAGAAAATCACTGTAATTTCTCCTTATAGATTATAAGCCTATATCTTGAATGCAAAGAAAAATTTCTGGCTTACCTTAAAGTTTATAACACACAAACCATTACCATGTTGTGCTATAATATGATTATTTTCTTTCAAAATTTTGATGTTCCGTATCCACTGAAATAAACGCAATTTTAATACACTGAAATACTTCAAAGTCCCATCCATCAAACACTTAAAAAAAGAGACAATTTGAGAAAAGTTAGTAAAGCATTTGAAATTTCCTGCCATAAGTATTAAAGTTATTAGTAAATTTATTTTAGTTCCATTGTTTTGGAAGCTATAAACTTATTGAAACAGTCTTGAATCCATCCCTGGAACAAACCAATACTATGCAAAGAGTGTATCTAAAGTTTCTTGCTCATGGAAACAACGACTTGCCCCCTGATGAAGGATAATTTAACCCTCCTGGCCAGCAATTGTTAGATAATAAATACCAGTCTGACGGGATTACCACTCGGCAATGCCAGGATTCTTAAGGTTCTTTGTTCAAATTCAACCAGGGACTTTGATACGAGGAAGCTATTTTTTTTTGGTTGGTTTTACATCGCACCAACACAGTATAGGTCATATGGGGATTTTCCAGCTTTACTGGTTGAGGAAGAGCTTATGTGCCCCCCTGGACATTATTTTAGACACAAAAGGGTACCTTAGTAGAACCGCCAACGTTTCGTAAGCTACCTGGATAGCGTTCTCACATGAGGACTGCAACAATGCTTGTGTGGCTTGAATCTGCAGCGGTTTGATGTCAACAACCTTAACCAATCAGCCACTGACGCCCCTTATTAAAGGTAATCAGACCAATGGTGCAAGAAATTATACCTACAGTCGCAAACAAGTGGTTCCTTTTTACCTGATAATAAGTTTGTTAACTAATATGTTTATGTAAAAGGTGGTAATTAACATCAAGGTCATCAAGCTTCTATAGTGCACAGGGACATTAACAATCAATATCAAACAATTTACTTACATCATTTATAGTAAGATCAGTGAAAAACTTCTTTCCTGGAACCACTGAAGCTGCATGCTGTAAACAAACAGAGACAAATTCTTACCGAGGGTTCAAAAACAACATTTCTTTATTTTATTTTCTTTCACTATTGTCAATGTCAAACAGCAACTTTCTAGTATTACTGGATGGAGGAGGACCTCAGAGATATCTCTCAGTGCATTACTTCAGTCAAACTTGAAATTTGAGGAAAGTACGTTTTAGCTTACTAGCTAGTGCTTTGACTGTTCTGTGTGCAAGATGATAAAAGTTTAAATCTTGTGTAAATATATACAACAATTTATAGCTAAGTAGCAACCTTCAATATAGATAACTCCATTAGGACCATAGGTAACAAGAGCTGTATGTAGGACAGCATGCTCGACTATTCTCAGTCCTTGATAAAAAAAACTTGATTATGTAGAATTTTCCAAGTTCAAAAGGGGCCATAAATCTGTCAAAATCAATGTCAAGAAAAAGGGCCTCTTCCCAATTGAAATTTTCTTTAAAATAATGCAGTTTTCCCAAAAATCTGAACTTAAACCTGCTTTTTTACTTCCCAAATTAGCAATTTTAGCGATAATTTTTCCCAAAATCAAGAGGCTAAGGCCTCTTTCCAATTAAGTGAGAAAAATCACTGCAAGAGTTATCGGCATTGGACCCTCCTATTATGCTTTGAAATAAGTGTGTGTAGTTTAAAGCCATTCTATTTAGTAGTTTTAGAGATACCAAAACTGGCAAACATAAACTTAAACAAAGTGTGAGGCAGGCACTTGGGTGAGTACAATAGCTCTCCCTATCCTTTGAATAGTCGAGCTATTTTAAAATAGAAAAATTTAAGGCAGAGACTGGACATACCTCAGCTCCTACGACCTTCCACTCCTCTATAAAACCTGCACCTCCTGCATACACCTCATCCTCCCATTTGTTGTATATCAAACTGGTAATATAAAAAATTGGGTACTTGTGCATTTTAAACTTGACATATATGTTTCATTCTAAAGTATGACACTGGAAATAATTGAAGAATTAGCTTAACACCAAAAAGCAGCATGTCATGAATTTTATATAAAGGGGTACCATTCCCAAGCAAAACACAAACTGATTTAGAATCTAGTATTTGTGCCAAGGTAGAACTGAACTGTTAAACTATGGAAGAGACATGGAGACACAGCTGAGACATTAAAAGTTTATATCAATAACTCACCATAAGATTGTTGCCATACAAGTTACACGATCAATTTCCACAAAATTACTGCGAGCGTCTGTAAACACCCGAAGAGTCAGATCAGAAGAGAATACTAGGTATACCCTGTGTTTAGACACGTATGTCATACACAAAATCTCACAATCTATCTCAAACCTGAAATAGACACATAATTATGTCATGCACGTTATCTCATAATTTAATTTGAACCTGAAATATTGAAAAAATGATATACAGTAGAATTTCAGTAAGTCTAAGTTGAAGGGACTCCTGTAAAAACTTTGACTGACATGAATGAGTTTCAATTTAATAACAAAATTTCAAGCCTTTGATGTTTAAGAGTGTCGTTACAAAAGGGGAAACAAAAGAAATGGCGATTATAGCAGTCTTCGAAATTAACGCCAGTCCGAGGCCCGAGGCCACTAAATTTAGCATCGGTCCAGTGATTATTTCAAAGTTGGTGGTCCGACGGGCCAGTAGATTTTTGGCCATGAAAAAATATTATAAGAAAAATTCATCAAAAACTAGAACTATCACTAAATGTGATTAATACCCCCACAAGTCTGCTTCAGAAATGAGGATGTTACTAGTTACAGAATACCTTGTAAAAGAATTGAAACATAGAGTTATGGTTGTGGGCAATTAAAGATAATTGTGGTTCATGTATGTTGCATTTCCTTTCAATGTGGTTGGCCATTGATGAAGTTTAATTGAATTACTCTGTAATAAGTCCAGAAAGACAAAGAAAAAGAACAAAGGGCAATAACTCTACAAATACTGAAGATAGAGTTATAGTTCTTATTACTGCACTTCCTCTTATTGTGCTTGACCATTGTATGAAGTTGTTTTGAATTCCAACCAATACGTTTTAAGTTATGCTCCGGACAAGAAAAAGTATCAAAGGGCAGTAACTCTGTAATTAGTCAAGCTGGAGTTATGGTTCTTGTGCACTGCACTTTTCCTTATTGTGCTTGACCATTGTATGAAATTGTTTTGAATTCCAACCAGTAGTTTTCAAGTCATGCTCTGGACAAGGAAAAGTAACAAAGGGCAGTAACTCTGTAATAAGTCAAGATGGAGTTATGGTTCTTATGCACTGCACTTCCTCTCAATGTGCTTGTCCATTGTATGAAGTTATAATGAATTCCAACAGTAAGTCTTCAAGTTATGGTCCGGACAAAAGAAAGCAATGGAAAAGTAACAAAGGGCAATAACTCTGTAATTAGTCAAGATGGAGTTATGGTTATTGTGCACTGCACTTCCCCTTATTGTGCTTGACCATTGTATGAAGTTGTTTTGAATTCCAACCAGTAGTTTAAAAGTCATGCTCTGGACAAGGAAAAGAAACAAAGGGCAGTAACTCTGTAATAAGTCAAAAGGAGTTATGGTTCTTGTGCACTGCACTTCCTCTCAATGTGCTGGACCATTGTATGAAGTTATAATGAATTCCAACAATTAGTCTTCAAGTTATGGTCTGGACAAAAGAAAGCAATGGAAAAGTAATAAAGGGCAATAACTCTGTACTTACTTTAGATAGAGTTATGGTTCTTATGCACTGCACTTCCTCTCAATGTGCTTGACCATTGTATGTAGTTATATTAAATTCCAACCATTAGTCTTCAAGTTATGCTCCGGACAATAAAAAGAAGGCAATTGAAAAACAACAAAGGGCAATAACTCTGTAATTACTTTACATAGAATTATGGTTCTTGTGCACTGCACTTCCCCTTACTGTGTTTGACAATTGTATGAAGTTGTTTTGAATTCCAACCAGTAGTTTTCAAGTTATGCCACGGACAAGGAAAAGTAACAAAGGGCAATAACTCTGTAATAAGTCAAGATAGAGTTCTGTTTCTTACGCACTGCACTTCCTCTCAATGTGCTTGACCATTGTATGTAGTTATATTGAATTCGAACCATTAGTCTTCAAGTTATGCTCCGGACAAGGAAAATACAACGGACAAAAAAAAAAGCAATGGAAAAGCAACAAAGGGCAATAACTCTGTAATTACTTTAGATAGAGTTATGGTTATTGTGCACTGCATTTCCCCTTATTGTGTTTGACAATTGTATGAAGTTGTTTTGAATTCCAACCAGTAGTTTTCAAGTTATGCCACGGACAAGGAAAAGTAACAAAGGGCAATAACTCTGTAATAAGTCAAGATAGAGTTATGTTTCTTACGCACTGCACTTCCTCTCAATGTGCTTGACCATTGTATGTAGTTATATTGAATTCGAACCATTAGTCTTCAAGTTATGCTCCGGACAAGGAAAATACAACGGACAAAAAAAAAAAGCAATGGAAAAGCAACAAAGGGCAATAACTCTGTAATTACTTTAGATAGAGTTATGGTTCTTGTGCACTGCACTTCCCCTTATTGTGTTTGACAATTGTATCAAGTTGTTTTGAATTCCAACCAATAGTTTTCAAGTTATGCCCCGGACAAGGAAAAGTAACAAAGGGCAATAACTCTGTAATTAGTCAAGATAGAGTTATGGTTCTTGTGCACTGCACTTCCTCTCAATGTGCTTGACCATTGTATGTAGTTATATTGAATTCCAACCATAAGTTTTCAAGTTATGCTCCGGACAAGGAAAATGCAACGGACGTCTGGACCGACCGACCGACCGACCAACCGACCGACCGACCACCGGGTGACTCCTATATACCCCCCCAAACTTTGTTTTTGGGGGTATAATAATGAGGCAGGGTTATCTAAAAGATTGATATTTTAGCCTTTTAATTGCAAATGAAACCCATCAGTTCTGTCCTAATTGTTCAAAACACAGCTAGAGATGTCTAAATTGTATTGAGTAATGGAGGCCGTCCTTTTTTTCTTGGATATTTTCCGTACCACACCGTACAGTTACAGAAATTAAACCATTGTTTATCATGGTCTTTATTTAGCTATGATTTTGTGATAATTGAGTTAAGTTAATATTTTGTGTGAAAGTGATTTGTTTGAAGCAAATTGTGTTGTTCTTGTTCAATGCTAGTCAATTTTGCCTAAACATTTGAGCCTTATAGATTTTTCAAATCTGTCAACATATGGCCTAGAATACAAGAAGTATTATGCTTCTTTCAAAATTATTAAGGGAAGCATGATAAAGTGTTTTCCTTTACCCATCAATTTGTTACCTATCTATGTATTTGGTCCGGCTAAAAATCACCAGGTCCAGTAAGATTTGAAATTTTACTGGCCCAAATGTCCTGTGCTTTTTAAAGTTTTTCGTGAAGACTGTTATAGTAAATATCCTGTGTAATTTTCACGCGACACCTGGTCACGGAAGTTTGGGAACAAAACTAATTCATACTGTTTATCTTCAATAGTAATAGATAAAATGATTTATATAACTAAATACTCGTGCCAAAAGTTGTATTTCAAACTGTCCAGTGTTATTTCATGATGTTTAATATCAAAAAGCTAAAATTTGCTTATGGTCTCCTTAGTGAAAAAGCAACAATATATATGTCATGCTGCTATGGTATTTTTAACCTGCTGCAGTAGTTTTTCACACTTCATAGGGAAGAGGCCTTAGCCTCTTGATTTTGGGAAAATTTCAAATTTGGGAACCAAAAAAAGCTGGTTAGGGAAAACTACATACATTTGAATGAAAATTTGGGAAGTAGACTTTATAGGCCTCTGTTATATATGGTGAAATATTGCTGCTGAATGAACCATTGAATGATCGGCCTTTGCCATGAGCATGGTCAGCTCTTATCAACTAAAATCTCTAAAACTTCAAATAAACTGTTCCAAATTCATGACAAAGCGAATTCAGTGCACAGATTCAGCCAGCGGGGTTAAGGGTTTAAGATATTACATTTTATTTTAACTACTAAGGCTCTAATCCATACTACCAAAGCACAAAATAAAACTTACAGATCAAAGAAATTTATAAACCATATTAAGAAAATTGGAGAAAAATACATTTTTTTGCTTTAACAATTACAGTTTGGAATTTAAAAAAAAAAAAACACATTTCAGCACCACACAAAAAAACTAAAACTTTTCTATCTTTTACCTGCGGAATGTATACCTGGGGGTAACCAGCATTGAAAAAACTATATAAATAAGGTTGAAAATTAAATTGTGTATGGATATTATTTTTAAGTCTGAATTAAATCCTTCCTGCATTACAACTTACCCTTTATTCTTGCAAGCCCCTTCTTTGTCCTTTGTTTCGACAAGCCACACACGAACCCCTTGTACAGCCCCCTTGTTATAGTGGCAGGTGAACATTTCTCCAAGTTTTGAAGATGAGTGATGCATACATTTCAATGAACTAGGGTGACGCAATGTATACAAAAGCTGTGGAGAAAACAAAAAAGTATTGTATTGTATTGACTTTAGTCACTTTAAGATAAAAAAAAATGTAAAAATAATCCCTACTACAACTGGGGTGCGTTTCATAAAGAATCGTAAGTCTAAAACATAAGACTAAAGTTAGGACTGGAATAAGATTGCACTTAGGAGCGTTTCAAGAAACTGTCTTAACTCTACTTAGGAATAGTCCTAAGTTTTTACTTATAACAAAATCTTCCTAATGGAGATAAAAATATTCACTTGTTCCATATCCTGTAGAATATGTCATTGTCATGTGAAATAGAATGGCGGATGATTAAATATAAAAATGCTGTAAAATTGACATTGTGTAAAAATATACATTAATATTTCTTATGTATTAACTTACTTCTAATCTCCTTCATATCATTAATGTTATAATTGTAACCTTGAGCACGAACAATTTTTTACTTTCCTTTAAAATCATTCTTAAATTGCATACTTTCTTGAAAAAAATATTCCATATTTTACTCAAATGTAAAATATCCTCTTAATATTTATGAGACATTTGAGTGAAGTATTGTAGAATAATGCTTCTAGTATAAATGTACTAACAAACGCCGATAACGGAGTTATTTATTACAAAGCATTTGAACGATTAACCGTATATTATTTTACTGTAATGTAAGAAAAGATAATATCTATTTCCATTCTAACATGGTAATAAAAAAGATAATCAATAAAAACATGTTGAACATTATTATGCATTGAAGTAATTTATCTTACGTCATTTGGTTTATATGACGTCATTTCTGACTTTATATTATGTGTTATCTTTCCTTTTCCATGCCATGCATAATTATTTATGACTAATGCACTTGACTGCTTTATCTGTTTATATAGGGGAATAATGTGAAGCGTGTTTGAATTTTATATATAATATGTAAGTATTAAAAATTACTGAATCTTGAAAATAAAACATACGCCAAACTAAGTCCGGCAAAGCCATATCAGTCACAATGTCAGTCATAGGCCTATATACTATGAGTAGTATAGATTTACTAATTAATAAAACATATCAACACACTGGTTAGCAAAAATGAACATGTTTATTTTAACAAAAGTTTTATTTACCTTAAAAATATTTAATTAAGTCATATACACGTAACCAATACTTATTATAATTCATATTGAATCAGTGTAAAATTTTTATAACAAATTTTTTTTTAATATTACAGGTATTAAAATCCTTTTCTTCACTTATAAATGCCCTTTATTTTAACATATTGAGAATAAAACAGGAGCTGCAATGTTTTTTCAGCACTTGTTTTTGTTTTTATGACTTAAGACAAAAGTTAGGAGTGCCCTGAGGCACCTATAGGAATAGTCCTAAGTTTAGTCCTAAGATTGTACTTAGGACTTTTCTTGAAACGCAGTTTTATCACAGTTTTGCACTTACGACTAAAATCGGTCCTAAGATTCTTTATGAAACGCACCCCAGGGCTCCAGATAATTTTTTTAAGTCCATGAGTATTTGCAGTTTTGTTTACGCTTTTTGTATGTTCTCACTTCCGTAATAGAGACGCTCTGATTGGCTTACAGGCCACATATGGGTGGGTAGTAAATTAATTCATCCTCTGCTGTTTGGGATTTAGTATTTTAGGCAAAATTGATTTCACTTTGATATTTTCAAAGAGCAAAAAATGAGGCAAACTCTACAAAACTTACTCTCACACTTATGATCAGCAATAAGTTTAAGTTTTGGTTAAGCAGGAGAAATGTTGTTCATAACATAATCACAAATTCTTGTGCGTTTTTGACGCTTGAAATTTTGATAGTATGTCGTAAACCTGTGATTTTCATGCGTAATTTAGGCACATACGCATCTTATCTGGAGCCCTGCTACTAGTCAGTAAGTAAGTCAGTCAGTCAGTAAGTATGTCTGTCTGTAAGTATTAAAGGTAAGTAAGCTAATTAAGCTGCAAGTAAGTAAGAAAGTAAGTAAGTAATTTAAGTCTTTTTAACAAGGCTACACATTTGGTTACCCAATCTGCAATGTAGGCCTCAAAAACATAATTTACAAAATAAACATAGTTTACACCATGGTTATACAGTGTAATTTTCAAAATATATACATGAAAATACAAAACATGAAAACACAAAACATGAAAACACAAAACATGAAAACACAAAACATGAAATATGATATGATATCATTATAATATTCTGAAATAATAAAAGAAAAAAAAAGTAAAAAAATCCAAACAATACAAACCTGTGGTCCAATATCAAGCGTCATTCCATGATCAGACTTTTCCGCTGCCTTTAGTTTGTCCTCAATCTCGTCACTCAAAACCCTCCAACTTTTCAGCTTATCCCATCTTGCTACAAACCAACACAAAGGGATGTTAATAAACAAAAAGCATAAAAAAAGACTTTCTTTGAAAGCATATTTGTTTTAAACACTGGTACGTTTCTAGTCATGTGGTCTAAAGTTTTTTTTTTAGTTTCTCAATATCAATGTCAAATCCTACTTTTGGTACATAACCATAGCACTATAAAGTCATGCCATATAACATAAATATAAAGTCATGCCATATAACATACTGCATCCTAGGTTTCTAAACCAGAAATCACAAAAAAAAATTTTAATAATTAAATGCTGGTTAGTTAAGCATTATTAAACTTAATAAATATAAAACAAATCGTGTCTTTTCAGTGTTTTTTTTCTTTATATAACTACTACCCTAAAACGGTACTGTTCCCAATAGAAAATAGACATTAAAATTCCCAATTTCCAATGTTTAAATTCCCAAAATTGCTGTTCAAAATTGCCACAAGGCCAAGTGATTTCTCTGAAATCATTTTAATACAATATTTTCATACAAATCACCACTCAATAGTTCTACCTGGACAGTGGAAGCTGTAAGCTGTTTTTATTCATGATGACTAATCTTAATTGTAGCTGACAAAATGCATGAAAAAAATCCCAATTTAATTCAAAATAACGCATTTTTCCCCAATCAGTCTGGTACAGGCACCATTCCCAAAGTAGAGAAAAAAAACGCTGCTTTTATTCCTTCTATAACAGGACCTTTTATGGGCTACTCCCCCTCTTGAAAATTCTTTAAAACCATGCAATTTCCCTGTAATTTAATTTACATCAAGGTTTTTTTTCCCACATTTACAAATATACCATTTAATTCCCCAAATTTAAGGGAAAGGTCCTTTCCCCTACTTGTGAAAAAAGGCACTGCAGAATATAATTGAAGATAATTTTTTTTAGTTCTATAATAGTCAAAGTCTATTTTCACATCAAAGGTCAAAGATTAATGTAAAAAATGCAAATATTACCAATAGTGTCAAACTGTTTCATTTTCTGTTTGTGATCTGAAATAAATAAGATAAAAAAAATAAAAAAATAAAATAAAACAAAATAAAATTTGAAATCAAATCAAATAAACAAATAATTATAAAGATAAATTAATATAGATAAATAAATAAAGACAGAAATAAATAAATAATACATGTACAAACTGCATGTTGTTTTGATATTTAGTATTTGAAGAAGCCAATCAGAATTTAACAAAATGTTTTGTTTTAATTTTTTAATAATTTCTTCACTCATTGATATAATAAATAATTATATTTTAAAAAAGACTGAAAATAATGATGCACATTTTCAACCTCTTCATTTCTCTTTGAAGACTCACGAAAAATTTCCAATTTGAGTTACCCCTGACAAAGGAGACGTACCACTTAATATGTAAGTTTAATTCAAACAGGAATTTTTCAATTCTAAAGAAACATCATAATATATTTAGATGGTTTAACTTTTGATGTATCTCATACAAATATCATCATGCTTGCATGTATTCATAAGTTGCATGTATTTCACATGCAAGTAAAGTACAAAGTAATGTTTCATCACTCGACTTCAATATGAATAAGAAGACTGGGAACAATTGATGTGCAATGCAAGAAACTCTATTTAACCAATTTTACTATCTTAGGAATTATTGAGGCTGTCTCAGTGTTTCTATTTTAGTCTTTTGCATATGGCCTGACTGTTAGACACATTTTAATACATTCAGCTTCAAAAAAACCTTTGTCCTGAAAATATGAAATTATCAGAAATACTGTCGCAAAATTCCCATTCATCCATGATTTTATAAAAATCAAAGACCCTGGTTTATCATGTATTTTCCCCGTTTTGGGTAGGGCTCTCATTGATTATCGCGATATCGATATATCATCGATATTCATCATCCGATACAATATCGATACACACAAGCTAAAAAAATTTTTTATTTCTGTTTGTTAATATACCTCTCTATTTTGGCTTATAAGAGAAGTCTTTTTTTTTTCTAGTTTTCTTGGTTAACTTGAACTTTCGTTGACAAGAATAACAGAGAAAAAAAAACTTCTGGTAGATTGTAGTGTTTGTAATGTGTAATACAAACATGCATAACACCATGATCCCAATTTATAACACATATATAAATGTTTTTCATTGTATCTATTGTCAAAGTCGATATATCGATGTATCGTCAATATTTGTCTCTCGATAAATCGATACAAAATTTTCCATCAATGACAGCCCTAGTTTTGGGCATTTACTCGATTAAACTGATAAATAAGAAAAAGGTTGAATGATAGTCCAAATTATCTTTTTAAGCGAAGGAAATAGCAATTTTTTGCATTTGCTGACACGGGTATCCAAATCGATCAATAGATATTCATAGTCTTGTTTTGGAATAAAAAACAGCATGGCCAATTGACCTTAACATCTCCATAAAATTCCCAGATTTTGTTTACACTTGGATAATCTTGTAAAATCTTGTGGCACAAATTTTCTTAAGTAAATAAAAATGGATTACTTACAAGGTTAATATTTGGGCATAAGTAAAATTATGTTTTTTATTTACTTATTGGAAAATAATGATACATGATAGGGGTGTTATGGTTAGAAAAAATGCTGACTGATTAAACAGAGACAAGATACATTGTAAACGTTTAACCGACCGTACTTCTAAAATCCTTAGATTTTCAACATTAACTTTGTTACTGTATGACAAGTAAGGCCCCCACGTTTACACATTTAAACGGATTCGTTTCGATTTTCATTCGTAAACGTTTCTACTACAATTATTGCTGAAGATTCGCCGTAAATTACGGCGATACATCGCGGCCATTTTCGTGAACAGCCATGAAATTCGGCGAACTTGCACGCGGCGATGTTTTACCGCGTAGTGTCCCGTCGCGTCATAGACTACACTCGCGGCATAACGCGACTTTTGCGGGTTTCGCGTGTCCAGTACTGTAATACATTTTTGGTAAAAAATGGGGATACAATGCAGAAAATGTGTGCTGACTCAATCGTGATGAGCCCTGAACATTCTTTATTTGTACATGTATTTAAAATAGAAAGTAAGACATCATTTGGCGACTCAAATGCATGGTGTATATAGTACATAGAGATACCACTGTTTAAACGGTATCGTTTCAGTTCTTAGCAATCGTGTAAACGTTTACAAAAAATTGTTAACGTGGGAGCCTTAGTGTGTCATTAAAGCTATGACACTTATGTTTGCATTTTCTTGAACACAAAATGGCAACATTACATATCTGAAATGAATATGGAGTGACTTTTTTCTGTTAAGGTCGTACCGTACTCTATCAGACCATCCAAGTTCAAACAAAATGTGCAAATTGAGATACACCCCAATTTTTTAGACATTGACAATATATATTTTTTTATAATCATATGCTTATCTTTAGTTTACTCTATGGCATTCTACATGAATGATTGAATAAGAGCAGGCCAGAATCCTGGCTCAATTATTGATAGCCCTTTACTATGGCATTGTCATCAGCATACCGTTTGTATCGTGTCACATTATAAAAACACCCTAAGGTCTTTTCACAATAATGGCAATGTGACTTACGTATATTATAAACTAGAGTTGATAAATTGAAAAACAAAATTTTATTCTCTTTAACGGGCAAAGTTTACATGTTTTAGAATGCAGTTCATCTGTTCACACAATCACATGACATCATCTGATCAGTCAGACAAAAAAATCTATCTATGTTTCATAAATGTTAAACCCCTCGCAGGGACGTAGTCATGACTATAGACTAGTCAGTTCAGAGAAAGCTATGAAATACAAGGGAATCCGGGAACCAGCCCTTAGGCTTAGCTCTTATTGAAAAGACCTCTTGGTTCTTTTAAATGTCCAGTATATAGCACTAATACATGCGAGAATTACCTGGCAGGGCCTTTTTTCCTTATAATAACAGGGGCTGGGATAGGGCTGCCTCCCCAAAGAAAATTTCTTTAAAATCATTCAGTTTTGCCCAAAAATTGAATTTACATCAAGTTTTTTTCTTCCCCTTTTGCAAATATTTTATGTAATTTTTCCCCAAAATTAAGGGCTGGGCTGCTTCCCCAACATGTGGGGAAAAAAACCTGCCTGGATTTCTTATGTGTGTTTCCCACGATCGAAGTTTCGAACCATGGACCTCAGGAGTGAAGCCAGTGGACAGCCAACTGAGCTATCGCGCCACCTATGAAAATGTAAACAATCTTGCTAAGGGCACATCATTTATCGTACAATAGAATTTGAATAGTGGAGAGGATTCTTATACGTTATTTTTATACCAAACCTTTTTTATTTCAACAGTGAGTTACACATCGTCTTTTCTTTGAAAAAATTACCGCCATTTTTCTTCTGTATCATGACGTAAGCACCGTGGATACTCAGTGTCACTAAATGCCGTACATAATGTATCCGGTACATCCCACTGAATTATCCTTTTATCGCCCTGAGTATGGTTCCACAGAGCCCGACTGGGGTGAGAGTGGTTTCGTCGAACTACCGGTTCGGTTAATTAATCTTATATAATAAAACAGGTTGTGGATTTTTTTTATAATGCAAAAATATCTATTGTCTAATGGGCAGGTCCGTTATTATCGTATATCTGAAATGTCACATTGTCTGGGTTTATCACACATTTTCATGCAATTAAAGACAAGATATTAAATTATTTTAAACGTTTCTATTATCTATTATTACTATAGTATAATAACTATATTTACATAAAAATGGTATAACATAATACAAAAGATCTCAGTAATCAAACATCTTAGAAAGGCCTAATAATATATATATTAATACGTATCATATGAAAGTAAAACCCGAAAAAAATAATGATTTAAAATTTACACAAATATACTATGAAGCCTGTAAAATATGAAAACATTTTTTTATTATCTATGTCAAACTATATTTATGGAATACTCTACCCGAAAATTTTAGAAAATGTTCAAATTTTGCCCAGTTTAAAAAGTTAATTTCATCCTGGAATGGTAAACAGTGTAAATGTATTGCTTGCAGCTAACTTCTATATCTTGATTTACTCCACTTTTTATTTATTTTTCTGGGTATGAACATTTTCTTTTGGGTCACATTTATCATTTAGCTTCTTCAGTTGTTTTTTTCTTGCTTGCTTTAAATGTGTTTTTGCTATTCTTCCCTGCTTATGTTAATATTATCATTAGTTTCTAGATTAGGATTTTGCTTTATTTGTGATCTTTGTATTGATTTTGCTTTTGTTTTTTTGTTAATTGCTTATCTTTTCCAGCATGACTCAAGCTAGCTGTTAAATTGAGTTCAACTAATGACTTACATGTTTAATACCTTCTGTCTTTGTGTAGTCTGATAACCCATAGTCTTTCATATTTAAATTATATATAAAAAATGTATGTTGTTTTTTTGTTGTTTTTTTTAGCTATTTTTATTATTTATTTATTTAAATAATTCATTAAATTTTTAATTGTTTACTCGCGTATATTATTGAACTTTAAGTAAATTTTTAGATACTAGACATTGCTAGTGATGTAGATTTGGGTGGTAAACTATCATTTTTAGTTTTTAGCATATGATTCGTTTTTATAATCATATCCTAAAATGTCTATTTTATGCATGTGATGATATATATATCATGTCTAATCATTTTTTATTGTAGCTGTTTTATCCTTTGTTGATTCTTATACTTTATGTTATTTACAGTCGGTTATAAAAGCTCCTAGAGCTTATGTTGTAATGTTGAAAACTTGCCGACTTGAAATAAAACTTATCTTATCTTATCTTATCTTATATTCACAAATGGTAAGGAACAGTGCTTTATTCGGAATAAAATCGACAATAAATTCACAGAAAAATAAAGCCTGTAAGAGAAAGAATTAGCAATGTATTTTATCATCAAATTAATTTAAAGTATATACACAAAAAAGACAAGCAAACAACATATAAAAATATTAAACCAAAATTAGAAAAAATTGTACCATGATTTTGTACGTAATAAACAACACATCTTTTTAAATACTTTATTCATCTCTATATAAACAATTGACACATGCTTAGTATTAAAGATAAAACACCATGATTTCTACGTAATAAACAACAACAATTTATTTTTATTCTATATTTATCACGCTATATAAAACTTAAAAATCGTCCTCATAAATCCCGTCGTGAAAGTTGTTAGATCCTATTCCTGAAATGTGTCATAGTCTCAGTAGTTGCGAAGAAGTCATCTTCGTACTTGTCCCAGGCGCGGAATAAGGCTCCATGGATACAAGCGTATCTTTTACGAAGAAGACTTGTCAAGAGATGCTGAAAAACGAGACGAATTTGAAGGTCCACAACATGTGCCTCCCTCTTAAGTAAAGGTAGAAGCATGTATAATCCCAAGTTCGCACGTCCTGCACAAGTGTTCATCCTTCTGTGCCTTACTGTAATGAATTATGTTGGAATAAATGTAAATTTTTTAAGTTGAGTTAGTAAACTTACAACGTTATATTATATTTATTTATGACATTTGCGTCATAATTTAGTTACAACAAAAATTGATGATAAAAACACTTTATATATATTGCAGTCGTTCAGCACATTTGCCATGCTAATAACGGTCAAATTATCGTAAAATAATCACCCACTGATCATCAAGAACAAAATTACCATCCAGCACCCGTTAATTTTCTATATAAATATATATACAAGGTATATAACTTGCCGTAGCGATTTCACTGACACGACCAACATTTTGCTCTGGCATTTTTTATAATATGACATATTTTCATATTTGAACGTGTAAACATTGCAAAAAAGATATATCTTTCAGTTACAGTTAATTTTTTTAGCCATCTATCCTCATTTACAATAAATGAACTATCAAACGTGAAAAATAGCCTTAACATTCCCAGGTCGACATATTTTTTGCCACGAAATTTCCAAAATCCACCACGAGTAAACTTACGTTTAGCTGCTTGCCAATGGTAAGAAAGTATTCCAAACAAGTTGAAACATCGAATTCCAGTTATTAAATAACGATTGTCATATATTTAATGTCACATGTACAAATGTATACGCATTTTAACTAAATTTCAATATACTTAAAAAAAAAATATCGCCAATACGCTGTCAAATGAAATAGTAAGTTTTCATTGGTTAATGAAATGCGCGTGACCTAATTGTAGCAATCATGTACACAAAGAAGAATTAGATAAAATTGAGTTAAAATTACATAATTTAGATACATAAATTGTTCATAAATAGCATATTCCAACTTGAGACCAGCTGCCGATGTTCTGACTAAAGCCGAGGGGAGTGGCCCTACAAAGTAGGAAGAACGACGAGGAAGGTGTGCTAGGGTGCGTGATCCCCTAGCACAAAGAGCGACGGCTTAAAAGGCAGACCTTTTGCTTGGTACAAACAGCTCTTTTCAGGGCTACCTCCTTTTCAAACTGTCAATGTTTACTAAGCAATTAGGTTCTTATTGGCCGCCGTACAGTGACCTACTTTTGGTTTGACTTAAACTCTGTGGAAAATTATCACCACCTTTTGCTTCAAAATTAACCATTTAAGGGCATGACTGGTGACATATCTTGGGTCTGTACTCGACAGCGGAAGCTGATTTTTGTGTCTTAATGGGAGAATGGACCTCATTAAACACAGAATACATACATACACACATGGATGTGTAACAACATCTCTCTCTTCCCCTCGGTACGTGCACGTCGCATAGAAAGCACAGGGCATCGGCAGAAAATTTAGAGTTCGGCTGATTTATCACCAAGGACATGTTGACTGGTTAAGATCCGAGCGCTGTTGTTGTACATAAATTAAAGGGTAGGCCCTAAAGACAAAAAAAACCCATTCGTCGGTAGGGAGATAAGTTTTTATCGCAACCTATATACAACTTAAACAGCTGCCGATGTCTTGACTAAAGTCAAGGGGTGTGGCCCTATAAGTAGATAGGGACTACGAGAAAATTGTGCATGAGCCCAAAAAACAAAGATTGACGACGATTTGAAAGGCAGGCTCTTTGCTTGGCACCAACAGCCATTTTCATGGCTACCTCCTCTTTTTCATATTGTCTTAGGTTACTGTACATTAAGGTTCTTATTGGCCGCCGTACAGTGACCTACTTTTGGCTCAAAATTCATACCTTTGGCTAATACTCCGTGCAAATTGCATGGAGGTAAATTACACCACTTTGTACTTTAAAATTACGGTTCCGTACTCGACAGCGAAAGCTGCTTTTTTATGGACCTTCATTTAACATAAAATACACTTGGGATGTATAACGGTCGTAGGACAGTGCGGACCATGAGACAGGGCGGACTGTACTAGGGCGGACATTATGTTTAGTCAGGGCGGACCATATTTTTTGACAGGGCGGACCGTGACTCCAGATGAGGCGGACCATGATTAATTTCAAATTTGATATTGCTTTTTCTTTAAATTCTGTATAACTCATTATATAGTTGGAATTTTGATATCATACAGTTGAGTTCACACTAAACTTCCCACCCTTGTGCACTTCTAGTGCACTAGAGCTGAACTAGAAGTGCACACCATGTGCACTACTAGTGCACTAGACCATATGACCAGTCTGGCCAGGGAAGGTGACAACTAAATGGTTTATATCAAGTGACAGGGGGCATTCATTGTTAAGCTGCTGTAAGAAAAAAACACTTTGGGTATATATGACCTATTCATGAATGTAAAGAAGTAAATTTTAAAATCAGCAGTTTTAACATTTTAGGTGATATCATGTTAAAGCTTAAAATTATTTTTTTTTATTGTAATCATATTTTTATTACCATTATGTAACTTTAAGTGTAAAATAATACCCCTTAAAATCAAACTTATATAATTAATAAGGTTAAATTTAAATATGCTCCGTAATGGATAATTAAATAAGTGTTTTTAAAGCTTTTTTTAATGGCCATGTATTTCAATTTTTCTAGTGTACAGTAAAATTAATTTAGTTTGTAACAACATAAACTTTTTTTCATAAGCTCAAACAAGTCAAGGAAAGGTTTATATTTGAGCTAAAATATTATTTTTGTAATGTATAACTTAGAGACAATTCCTCGTGTTCAATATTGAAAGAGAATATTAATACATTGATTTTAAAACAATCAATATACTGTGATAATTTAGTTTTCAACTGCGTAATGCTTGCATATGATTTAAAAATATAAATAATTAAAATATTATCCATAAAATAAATAAATTTGATAACTTTATTCATGATTTCAATATTAAAAATTTAATGTATAAAGGAATACTTTTATTGAAAAAGGGAAATCTCAAGTCAATGCTGTGTATTGGTATTTTCGGAGAGTGACTGTTTTCATTATACCACTCTCCTGCTGATAAGAGGGCCTCAGGGTATAACAAAAGAACAGTCATTTTTGCAGATTATAAGTATGCATTGAAATTCCCTGGTTTTCTCAAAATGCATGTTAGACATTTAAGCCTTTTGATACATTAGAGGTTGGCACTCAGGCTAGTTAGTCCTATAGATAAATGACCATAATTTTTGTATTAATCATAAACACTAAAAAAAAATCATAATGGCATAAATGCATATTAGATTATTATATGTCTCTAAAGCGGAATTTTCTATATTTATCCATTTATCCACATTTCTTGCCATTCTACATAATAATATATAACTTAAGAGGCAATTTCTCATGTTCAAGATTGAAAGAGAATATTAATTCACTGATTTAAAACAATCCATACACTGTGGTATTATATTTTTCAACCATGCAATGCTTGCATACTTTTTAAAAATATAAATTATTAAAAATTGTCCATGAAATAAATAAAATTGATAACTTTATTCAAGATTTCTATATTAAAAATTAAATGTTTAAAGGATTACTTTTGTAAATAACAACTATGCATATGTATGCAATATTTATTTAAAATGTCCAAAGTACATGTAAGACATAGATAAAGGACTATAATTTTGTATTATCAAATGTAAAAAATAATCATTACGGCATAAACGCATTTAGATATTATTGTCATTATTGTCTTTGAAGTGGAATTTTCTAAAAATTTTAAATACATGATTATAAAACTTTTGCAACTTCCTTTTGCAGATCTGTTTTTTTAAAAATAAAATATCATACATGAGCAAAGATTAAAGTGTCAAATGTCATGCTGTGTATTGGTGTTTTAATATAGTACCCTGCTGATAACAGAGCCCCTCAGGGTTAATAACAAAAGGCAGATGATAAATATAAGTAGGCAATGAAAATTCTGTATTCTCTAGATGTTGGTGCAAATAAATTTCATTACAAGTAGTACAAAAAGAAAACTGAAATATATTTGCATTTTATAATAAACTAAAAAAAAATAATCACATTGCATAATAATGTTACAATGCATGTAAAAAAGAAAAAAAGATTGGTGTCATCTAAAAAAAAATGGAAAAATTTTCTAATCTTTTTGTTAATAATCCATGTCAGTTAAAGTATACTAGTGTCCCACAGGTACAAATCAATACTTAATCCACACATATCATACCACCATTATATATAAATATTTATTTTCAGAATAATATATATCATTTATATTAATCTTAGGTAATTCTCAGTTTGAGTAGGTAAGGGAGATTATAAATGAGATAAAATTGTCAAAATTTAGGCCAATTATAAACATAATTATTCTTTAATGTATTAAAGGCTATTAATGTTTAAAATCATTACCTTTAACTAAATCAACCATAAGTTAAGATCAAAAATAATTAGTTGGTATAATTTGCCCCCCCCCCCCCAAAAAAAAACAACAAAAAACAAAAAAACACCAAAACAACAACAACAAAAACTGACTGTCTGAGTTTTGGTTAATTAGCATTTCAATGTTTCATATTTCAATACCAGATTATAATAAAATAGAATCATATTAAATATCAATTAATTTTGTCTTATATCATCATTAAAGTTACAATTATTTATATTTACTCATTCTAACAATTAAGTTTTAAAGTACAAAATCAGTAACATTAATGACTTTGAAAAATTATTGTTCTAATATTTTACGCCATATTTTACAAAATCACAACTTCAAATTTATTATGAAAAACTTTTATACAGATATCTATATTTATCCATCTTTTCGTATAAGTCAAATGGCTTTTCATTGAAATAAAAGGTAAATGCCTAATACAATATAAAAGGTCTGGTGCACTACAAAGTGCACTTATGAAGTGCACTAGTAGTGCACTACTAGTGCACTTTGAAGTGCACTAGTAGTGCACATCTAGTGCACTCCTAGTGCACTTTGTGTAACCTTTAGTGTGAACTCAACTGTATATGACAATGCAATATGCATACAATCGACGACAATGTATGGTCGGTTATTTATTTTATTTAATATTTCTGCTATGACTACAACAATGATTGTTGACTGTTATATGGATAATGTTTTTGAACATAAACTGTTTAGAATAATATGAAGCACAGCAACTACATGTATATATAATTGTCAACTAGTCTTTTATAAATGATACAAGCACAGCAAAAGTAAATTTAAATTATACTATCAACAAAATGTTCGGCAAAAGTGTATTACAGTTATCAATATACAATGGGTGATACAAGATTTTTTCGTCTGAAACATATGATAAACACAGGTCATCTGAACAGTAACGCCCATAATCCATTATCAATTTCCAAACAGAATTTTAGCCCTTCTTTTAAGATTTTCATTTTGTACCAAAGTCCAACGTGAAAACTTTAATAGTGTTGCTTTTGTTGAAGGAGACTACAAGTCGTGATGTTTTTTCATCAAAGCATAAACTGTATGGTTTCTTTATTCCATCTTTTTCTGTGAGGAGTGTTTTCTTGAACAGCCCGTCTCTTGACATCTGAACTACTGTATGTGACACATAGAAGGCAACACACAGCGTGTCTTTGTCCAACCAGCAAATACCTTGAGGTTCTTGAAAGTCAGGTGCTTGGTATAAAACAATATCTTTCAAGTTTCTGTTACTGTCTAATGATACAATCCCTCTTCTGTGGTCACCGATGAACAACTCTGGACTCCAACTCGGTGCTGATATAAATAAAGGATATTCGATCTTTCCGTAGAATGACGTCACAATTGATCCAGATATAGAGTAGACTTCCAGATGACCAACACCTTCTTTGTATGATTTATTTTTTGACCCGCCACAAGACACATAAAGTAACCTGTCCTTGAACGCAATACCCCTACATCTGTCACCTACACTGAATGATGTTTCTAGCTTCATTGGACTTTTCTGAGTCACGAATTGAACTTTCTTCTCATTTATTAGAGTGACAGCCAGTAAGGATTCGTTGACCTGACAAACGCATGCGGGCGTATCGGCGACATTCAGGACGTAAATAACTTTATAGGATGTGTCCACCTTTTTGATGCGTTTATTGTTGTAATCTAGCATGATCATAGTTCCATCTGAACATATGCACATGTCATGAATGCAGCATATCTCCTTATCATCGTCGAGATGTATATCAAATGTACCATGTAGCTTTACAGATTCGACTGCCTTATGTTTAATAACCCGCCCTATGATGTTTTGTTCAGTTATTTGATTTGCAGGCTCAAGCCGCATTGTCTCCTCTGTTTTCGTTTTATCGAGAAGTTTCAAATTACTTTCGTCCAGTTTCTTTCTTTCAAGTCCCATTTTCAACTGAACATACTTCTCAGAATCGTTTTCACATCTAGCTGCCTTGACCCTCTGCAGATTTTCATCCAGCGACGTGATTGTCCCATCAATTTCGTGAATAGTTGATACAACATTTTTCTCCTTTACATCAAATGTATTGCGCACTTTTTGAAGAAGTGCTTCTTCCATCTTATCTAACTTGTCATTGATTTTTTGCCGTTCTGATTTTATTTCCTGAAGCAATTGACTTCTTTCTTGTTGTATTCTTTTAAGATCATTCTGTTTCCTGCTTTTTAAACCTTGAGAGCTAGTATGTATCGACTCAATGGCGTTCTCAAGCCTTTGTAGCTCGTGAGATGTTTCGAATTTCTTCACTAAACTTGGTATGAAGTTAATTCCTTCACAGCGACTGAAATGGAAAGAAACATTGAACAACTTACTAACTAGTGTATCTCTTTTAAGAAATTCATATGGGTTGGATGACACTGTAAAGATCATAAAAAATGAGAACAGAGATAAACAAGGCAACGCGACGTTCATAGAACGCAGTCACAGACATGACCCAGTCGCGCTGACAAGGTACTCAGTAGGGAACCGAACCGTAAACTGGATAGGTCACCAGAGCGGAGAAAGGAAGGCATAAGACTACTTTTAGTTTATGAAATTCGAACTGCGACGGTTTCGATATAGATCTATTTCTGTCGTCTCGGGTGGTTAATTGAGTAAACTGTAGGCTTACTGCACATGAAAGACTTATAAGTCTCTGGCGGGATTCGAATCCGCAACTTTTAAAGTCAGCAGAGGTAACTAGTCTATCGCGGAGGCCTTTTCTATTTGTTTTTCTTTCTATTTTTCTTCCAATTATAATCAACACCAAACAAAAAAAGCAATAGCTACAACTAGGACGTTTACTATCGAGAGGTCCTGAGGGGAAGTAACTGCTATATTGAGTTTAACTAATAGCACAATGTTTACTTCCCATAACTTAACTTCAGCAGTCTATACTCTGTACCTTGCCGTACCATAATTGAACGGACAATCACAAAACCGGTCAAATACATGTAGATTGACCAGTCTTTCTTATATTCAAGGATTTGTAAAGATTAGGTAACTAAAAATAAACATTTAAAAGTCTTAGAATTTAACAGTGGATGCCTCCAGATGAGCCAATACATTTGAAGAACATCAAACTTGTGAAAAAATGTACTTAGATTTTTAAAGTAAATACATTCAAGATTGAAATAATAATTTACATGTCATGTGCGATTTTACAGTATTTATCACCATGTTTCTACTGGTTAGGGCTATTTTTGCATGTTTTTACATCTTTTTGGTAATTAACATGGATTGTAAATACTGTTTATAATTTGCAAAATTAATGTTATTTTGTTTACTTGACAATAATTTAGTTTTTAATACATTTTCAAAATTTTCATAAAAATTAGTATGCATCTGTAGGCATGCTGCTTTAAATAATGGCCATGATATGAAACCGAAAGTAGAAACAACAAAGATAACACAAGAAGCTACCTGTGGTCAACATTCATACAAGTTGAACATCCGACTTTATCATGTCCCTGGCAGTATTCATCTATAACTTTACCACCATGCTTCTCACATCTTTGACTAGGCAGCTCGAGTCGCTTACCAGTCAAACTTTGAACTTCAACAATTTGGTGACCTTTTGTTACAGGAAATCTACTATGGTGATCCAAACAAGTTTTACATAAATTTTCATCACATTCTACGCAGTATTTACTGGCAGCCACATTCTTCTTATCTTTAGCACACAACGTGCACGGATATTCAAAAGCTTCGTCCGAACCCATGTCTGTTAATTTACGTCCGTATACCTCCATTTTTAACACAGTTTTTAAAGGAAGGTTTACTTCCTGATTACGGAGATATCTGGATAAACTCTGTCCGTTTAAAATTAGATACGTTTTTATTATATCATAGCGCTTTATTGAACATTATAAAACTAAAGTGGCGGTTAACCTGCGTCGAGTGTCGCATGAAAATCCACTTAGTACAGAGTATCCGTATTAAATTAACATTTATTGAATTATAAATGTATTCTATAGTTATATGTATAGATATACATGCATTTTATGGTATGGTTTAAAATACTGTAATATTAATGTTGATGATGGTAATGATAAGAAGAAGGAGAAATCCTACAACGACGACGACGACGACAGCAGCAGCAGCAACAACAACAACAACAACAACAGCAGCAGCAGCAGCAACAACAACAACAACAGCAACATTTAACAACATTTAAAATAGCAACAATAAAATGATGAGGTACCATTAAAAAAAGTAACATGGTCTTTGACAAAGCTAGAATTTCCTCATCACTGTTATTTTATGGAACGTAATGCATGCATATGGTATATTTCTCTACCATTTTAACTCTGGTGTAATTATATAAATGACTATAACAAAACCCTACCTCGACGCCCCCACATACATTATACCTATACGGTTATATTACTGACCAATCTTTAAAAAAAAAACACAAACAAAACTTTACAGTTTACTACAGAAATGATTTTTGCCTGGATGATTAAATCAGAGACATAGATAACAGAGATAAGCAGCTCCTATATATTCCATTGAAATATCACTCATGCCTATCAAAAAAGTGAAAAAATAGGCATTTTGTAGCAAATAAAACTTAATAGATGTACATTTGATCCTTTAATATTATATTCCATTTGAAAGGTAATAGATGTACATTTGATCCTTTAATATTATATTCCATTTGAAAGGTAAATCTTTTATCTATTGCTGCATGTTAAAATATTGGTAACTTTCCATGCCTTTCACTTAGAAAAACATAGCAGAACATACACACTGAGCCTGTTTTTTTTGTCAAATGAATAGTTTTGTAACAAAAATTAATAGGTAGTGCTCTTTAAAAATTGATGTATCATTTATTTAAATGGGAACTGTAAATATTTTTACCTGCAGTCATAGACAAATGCATAAGCTTCCAGAAAATGTATTATTTTCCTGATTTTGATATCTGGTTAATAAGTTTTACTTGCTACAAGTTTTAAGTTTAGCAGAAACGCGTGATATTTTTACTGGTTAGGAAGTTGCCTATCTCTGTTATCTATGTCTCTGATTAGATATGGCAAGACTGCCCATTCCCCCCACCCAAAATAAAAAAATAACAAAAAAAAAATTAAAGAAAAAAAAACAGCTACAAAAACAGCAAACAAACAACAACAAACAAACAACAACAATAACAAACCAACAAACCAGCCAAACATAATAATAATAATAATAATAATAATAATAATAATAATAATAATAATAATAATAATAATAATAATAATAAAACAAAACAAAACTCGAATAGCAAGTATAGTAAATAGTATTTCCCTTTTCACAAATTTCTTTATTTTGTGATCATGCAAATATTCGTAAAATTATCATGCCGAATCATATTCAAATAACGGATTAAATAGCGTGAAATGCTGGGAAAGCTATAAAAAAAATACGATACCAGAGGTGAACACGTGTTCCGGATCGTTCTGATCAAGTCCCGTGCAGCACGTGAAATAAGATATTTTCGTTGTTGAAGATCCTCCCGAAATATCTTTAGAATTCAAATATAAAAGTATCGGTAAAAACTAATTACTTAATTTGAGATGACTAAATATTATTAGAGACAATTAAAACATAATAATAAGCAAGCAGTGTTCCAATGTGTTAGTATTTTTTAAATAGTGAACTGTTTGAAAATTCCCCAGAGAATATGATGACACAAGAATTATTTAATTCTTATATTTGTACTTTAAGTTTTTAAAATCGTTTAAAATATGCGTCCTACACATAGCTATGTCTGCTCTTCATGGATAATGCATGAATTCCTTTGGTTACATAAACCGCTACTGTTATTTTTGTAGAAAGTTATGATTATATATCAAAGGTCATTTAAATAACTTTTTATAAAATAATAATAATAATAATAATATTAAAAGTAATAAAAATAACAATAATAATAATAATAATAATAACAAAGCTTTTATTTATACTCCGTCTCGTGCATAACATCTCTCTGTTAATACACATATATTATTTTTATAATATGTAAACTAATAATACAGTGTAATGTATTACTTAAAACTTTTCTAGTTTAAGGATGTTTTCGAAATCGCAACATGGCGAAACTCTCTTTTATTTACAAATGTACAAATGTATTTGATATTTGAATATGAACTTGCAACGATTCTGCCAGGAGATTACATCGTGTATACATGAAGGATTTAAAAAACAGTTGATACAGCCTGCACGAAAACTCCGTGCGCAAATACTGTCGGAACATGTGCACTGGTACGTTCTGAACGAGCCACGTAAAGCACGTGTAAACAGACGGTCTTAATCAATATAAGCAAAAATGGTTACGGAACTTTTCAAACGAGAAAAATCTTAAGCAATTTTACATTAATCAAAAGTACAAATGCATGTTTATTTATAGTGAAATAAATGAGTGACTGAGTGAGTGAGTGAGTGAGTGAGTGAACGAACGAACAACATGCGTGAATGAACGAATGAATGAATATTATCATGAAAAAACTTTATAAATGAATTCATTGAACAGAATTGTGGGTGATTTTTTCATTATTATAGTAAAACAACAATTAAAATACAATATGCATAGTATTATAGACGCTGAAATCTCATATTGCTCAAAAGTTCGTTAAGTCTTATTGATATATATTTTTAGTATATGTGCTGGGAATAACAAATATACAATTTATTTGGATTTTAACGCGTTCAACAGTCTGTCGATTGGACATCTTTAACAAGTGCTTGGACACCCTGAATTATTACCTTTAAATAAACAGATTCTGCATCCACTGGATCACTGGCTGCAAATCCCTGTCATTATTTTATTTTCATCTTTTTTTAATATTATGGTAAAACTAATCTAGATAACTCCTACAATATAACTTTCAAAAAAAAGAATATATGATCATATATATGTATATAAGAGATAAATTGTAACATATTGTGCTTGCTATAGTACCTGTATATAAAGCAATTACATAGAACACACGTAAATAGCCGAAGTTTTACGGTTGTATACTTGACGAAGACCACGGAAATAACCGAAGTTTTATTTTTTACAATCGATTTTTGCATATATAATGTATTGTATTTTTCTCTTCATAATTTGAAACGGTCAAATCATACGGTTCGCTGAGATGTACTGATTTGTTTAAACATAGAACTACATGTTTGAAAGTATTGAACAATCGTTTAAGTGGAGAATATATTGATCAAACGATTTTACATGTTTAAACCTTAATTCTTATATACCAAGTACATGTTATAGAACAGGGGAAAAATCCAAACGTTTTGAAGTTTAGAATTAAGTGACATAAATATAGGAACGCGAATACTAGAGCTTAACGTCGCTCTAAAAGTTATATAAAATGGCCGGTAATCAGAATTTTACGGAAGTTACGGAAAGCAACTCAATAAGCAGGGAACCATCATTCTTTAAGAGCTCAGAGGAAGAGAGTGGCGCGAGGGGTAACCTAGCAAGCGCGTGCGGCGACCGTGTTGATATCAGTCGCAGTTCTTCAGTTTGTAAGGATTCGGAGGAAGACGTTCAGTACAAATGTGACCCGTGCAGCACCGCGGGAGACGAGGCAGAAGTAACTGGTTATTGCGTTAACTGTGAAGAATATCTATGTAGTGACTGTTACAAAAATCACCCTAAGAATAAAGCCTCGCGGAACCATAGGTTACTGGATAAAGACAGTATGCCAACGAAGGAAATGATTTATTGTGACCCTTGTGGACTTGAGGACGTTGAGGAAGAAGCCCATGGATACTGTAATGAGTGCGGGGACTACTTGTGTGGAAGTTGTTTCAAGAGCCATTCCAGGAACAAAGCCTCAAGAAATCACACGTTGTTAGACAAAGATAGCATGCCGAAAAATATTAAAAGACAAAGTATTATGTCATCTTTTGGAAGGTTGGGTATTAGTAGAGGGGTCGATCATGGCATATGGTGTACGAACAGGGTACCAGACAATCAAGGCATTATTGTAAGAACATCCGGGAATTTACCAGGAGGATTACCATTAATGCCGAATTCGTCCGTTTTTGTGATAAAGAAAACATTTCGTTAAAGTTTTCGTTAAAATGGCGGTGTGGCCGAGTGGTTAACGCCTCTACTGATTGCTCGTCGTGGTTTCAAACTCCGTCAGGGACAAATCTGTTATTTCCTTGAGCAAGCAACTTTGCACTCATTGCTAAGTCTTAACAAGTTCGAGAGTGTGTCCATAAGCTTGTAACTTCCCAGATAATCGAGCAAAAATAAATTCTGTATAAAATAAAAATAAATAATGTGCAATGGCGGAGGAATAGCGCTATTGCGTTTTTATCTGTGTTGGTGGAGGAATATATTTGGTGCCTTTAAAAATGTTATAAATAAAGTGATATGAATAAATTTAGTTGATATTGAAAACATTTGAGAAACAATGTATTAGAGTTATAGTATAGCATTATGGACGACTTTGTCTATTTCTCTCAACAAAAATTCATGAAATCACGGAATTCATGCCGTCTTCAATTGACAACTAAATGTTGATAATGGCAAAGAAATCAAAAATTGTTAAACAAAGTAAATAAAAGTGTATTAAATAATTGATACATGAGATGACACTGGTTATTGTATTGTTATGCTTCATCGTGGGTTGAATTACCATGACTTACATTTTTATGGGAAAACATAAAGCGATTAAAGAATATACAACCAAAAGATCAATTTATAAACCTCAAGGGAAAGAAATCTAGAAAATATATCAATAACATTTTTATACGGATTACTTCCCTTTGTCTAAAAAAATACCGTATTATCATACAGGCTATTTAATAAAGTTCTTTCTCGTTTATAATTCGTATGCTCCGTTCTTATGTTGCACACATCCATATAAGAAAAAAAAAACAAATAAAAAAAAAAAACAAAAAAAAACAAAAAAACAAAAAAAAACCAAACAAACCATCGAACTTTCATTAATACATGAAGAGTTTTACCCAAATCGATCAATGTTCGTGAAGTTTGCAGCCTAGCAGTCTAACAGTCTGGAGTTGGCAGCCTAGCAGTCTAACAGTCTGGAGTTGGCAGCCTAGCAGTCTAACAGCCTGGAGTTGGCACCTAGCAGTCTAACAGCCTGGAGTTGGCAGCCTAGCAGTCTAACAGCCTGGAGTTGGCAGCCTAGCAGTCTAACAGCCTGGAGTTGGCAGCCTAGCAGTCTAACAGCCTGGAGTTGGCAGCCTAGCAGTCTAACAGCCTGGAGTTGGCAGCCTAGCAGTCTAACAGCCTGGAGTTGGCAGCCTAGCAGTCTAACAGCCTGGAGTTGGCAGCCTAGCAGTCTAACAGCCTGGAGTTGGCAGCCTAGCAGTCTAACAGCCTGGAGTTGGCAGCCTTGCAGCCTAGCAGTCTAACAGCCTGGAGTTGGCAGCCTTGCAGCCTAGCAGTCTAACAGCCTGGAGTTGGCAGCCTTGCAGCCTAGCAGTCTAACAGCCTGGAGTTGGCAGCCTTGCAGCCTAGCAGTCTAACAGCCTGGAGTTGGCAGCCTTGCAGCCTAGCAGTCTAACAGCCTGGAGTTGGCAGCCTTGCAGCCTAGCAGTCTAACAGCCTGGAGTTGGCAGCCTTGCAGCCTAGCAGTCTAACAGCCTGGAGTTGGCAGCCTTGCAGCCTAGCAGTCTAACAGCTAAAGAAAAATAAGAATAGTTCTAAAGTGCAATAGCCTAAAATGATAAAAGAATAAATTCTTTCACAAATCAACTGATACACAATCACGCGCAAAATGAAAAACTATGCAAAAGATAACATATATGAAAAATACCCGAAATCTATATCTATTATCGATTTATTTTGCGAATGTTTGGGCCGACTTGAGTGAAAAGCTTTGAAACGTTTTTCATTTTGTGTTCAATTTCCGCAATAAAATTCATTATCCCTAGCATACATGTGATATTTTTTCAAGTGGGAGAATTTACTTCAAAAAGAGGGAGATTTTAGAATTTACAATAGATATAAAAGGAAATTTTGAAATGAAAAAGAGGGAGATCTTATAATTTTGTGAAAACACCCCTTATTTTAGAAAAAAATATCTGAAAATTTGACAACCAAAATAGGGAGTCTTCCTCGTAAATAGGGAGATATCACATGTATGCCCTAGTAAACGGAACGAGTGAATGATCTGATATTGTGTGCACGAGTTATTGGCCCAGACCTAAATCCAGTTATACAACAATACACGTTTCTTCGGTCCCTTCATGTAAAAACAGCCTCAGTGGCGTCTCTTTAAAGAATGACTAAGTTTCATATTTTATGTTTGTAAGCATTTGTAAGATTAAATATTTAAAATATGTGTACATAGATGAGCTGATTATCGGTCGAATGTTTCACAATCGCTCACTTTCATGTAAGAAGTAATGGAAGTGTACTCACTGAACTGTTAAAGCTACATGCCTCCAGATGAGTCAAAATATTTCAATAAAATCAAACTTGAGAAAATGTACTAAGATGTGAGGAAAAGTAAAAAGTTTCAAGATGCAAGTAATATTTTACATAATTATTATGTGCCATTAATGACTGATTTTTCAGTATTTACAACTACATTTCTACTGCGTTCACTTATGCATATTTTGACCACTTTTTGGTAATTTACGTGGTTTGTAAGTGCCATTGATAATGTTTAAATTGCTTCCTTTTGGTTTCTTCACGATATTACACATTCAAATACAATTTCAAATTGTTCATGAAAATTAGCATGAATCTGGAGGCGTGCTGCTTTAAGTGCGCGTACAGACTCAAATATAAGCAATATAATATATTTTCTAAAAAGAACGATTCCAATATATTTTTCTTTTGTATTTAAGACATAAATCTGGCTAGTTGCGGAAAAGAATGGTAACAGTCTTTAGCTCATGTGATTTAAAACAATATCAACCGGTAAACTGTCAAAAGTTGACAAATTTATCAAACCGGTGTGTGCAATAAATTTAACCTTTCAAAATCACCCCGGGCAAGACATCTAAGGATTTTCCCGAAATGCTTCCGTGTTTCAACCTTTACCGTGTTAAACTTGTTAATAAACGATTGAATGAGACACGGTGTATCACGTGATTTTTGTATTAAAAGTTTTGTAATTTTTTAAATAAAAACGGAAAAAGTGTTAAAATTGAAGAAATAAAATGGCAAATTTAACAATTACTTATATACTATGGTTTTTCGGTGGAATATTTGGCTTACATCATCTATACCTAAACCGGCCACAACATTGTTTTATATGGCTAGTTACATGGGGTGGAATGGTGATCGGATGGTTAAGTGAGTATTTCAGAATATATTCATTTTGTTCGTGCCTTTTTAGAGGGAATTTATGACCAGAAAACACATACAGAGCGAAAGAAAACTTGTAGTTCAGAGTATTACGAAATGTATGTAGAAAACAGCGCAATAATTCATTCAATTTTCGTATTCGCAAAATACATTACAGTTTGTATTTCACATATTTATTATACTCAAATGTCACTCGATTACGTAAGTCAATGCTTTTCTGAACATATAATAGTATAAACTGAATGGAAAGAGGCTAGGTCCCAAGTTATCCTTAATTAATATACTACATGTACATGTTTTTTCTTCTTTCACTTCTATTTCTATTTTTGTTTTCGATTTCGATAAAGGTTGACTAAAAATTGGAGTACTATTCCCATGATTGCATATATATTATAATGTATTGTATTGAATAATTGTTTCTCCTCTATTGGAGAAGTTATTTTAAGGTTTAGTTTCAACCTTCTCCTATATTTCAAATATTTGAAAAAGAGATGTATTATTATCATTATCATGCATTACTCTGTCATGTCATATATAGTATGTTTGTAATATGTTGTCCTCATGGGCTTATTAGCCTATTGGAAATGAAATAAATAAATTCAATTTCTTAAACGAAACTGTTTCATTTAATTATATGAGCCGCGTCTCGACAAAACCAACATAATGGGTTTGCGACCAGCATGGATCCAGACAAGCCTGGGCATCCGCGCAGTCTGATCAGGATCAATGCTGTTCGCTATCAGTTTTTCTGCTTGCTATAGGGTTTGTAAGCGAACAGCATGGATCCTGATCAGACTGCGCGGATGCGCAGGCTGGTCTGGATCCATGCTGGTCGCAAACCCATTATGTTCGTTTTGTCGTGACGCGGCTCATATATTATATTAATTTCAGTTTTCTTAACTTGTTATACTAACTTATAACAGTCATATTCCTGAAAAAATATTTGTATATAGATTAAGATATGAAAAGCCAAAACAATCTTATGCAAAGGACATTTATAATAAGGTTTTGCAAAAAAAAAAAACTTAAAAAAAAAAAATTACACGTTTCATGAGTGATTTAGTGTCATTTTATCTACTGATCCCTTATGCATTGGTGTCTTTATTTATTCTTTATTAGAGTAATTTTATAAATGACATCATTCATGAACATGTAACATATTTGCGGGCAAGCAACTGTGCTATTTTTGGGATGGCGATAAGTCGTCTGATGTCGTTTGTTCCTCTTGCACGTGCCCAACAACAAGAACAACAAGAACAACAGCAGCAACAACAACAACAATATAAGTGTGTATGCACACGTTATAAAATAGTTCGTTGCCATTTAAGTATTAGCAAATGATTTTTAGATATATGTTTAAAGTAACTTATTTCTTGAAAAAAAAAAAAACAACAACAAAAAAATAACCAAACATTTTTGCCTTCGAAAATCGCCGCCCACCACTACTCTGTGTACGTTGATTATCAAAAATATCTTCACGGAGGTCACAAAGCCTAAAAACATAAACTTTGAAATGAAGTTCTTAATATCACAAGTAAAGCACTTAAAATGGAAAAATCTGCAAATTTCGCACACACGTTATTGGTACTGACCTATACCAAATGTAAAACAAATCTCGGAAAAATAATTCCAGTCCCTGCATGTCAAATAGCCATGGTGGAGTCCCTTTAATAACAAGAATGAGGCATGAATTCATTAAACTAATTTCTACATGTCTGTTATAATGTTGTTTTTCAGCCGAGGCAACAAGATTGAAGGAGTACGTTGATGAGGCCAACGAGGGGAAATTTTACAAGGAACGTATGAAAGTTGTGAGAACGCATAATCCGAAGCCGAGCTTCAATCTGGTTGTTCTAGGAAGTCAGCTTATGATAGGTATGTCTGTTATATAGATCCATTGTTATATTCTAAGTTTTCTATTACTTGGGAGCCATACGCCGCTTTTCGTGGAATGGCACTACTGTGTCACTTTAAAGGTTCCATGATAACCGCCGTATATGAGCACATCTGCGGATGTTTCGAAATTCAAAATTTCACCATTTTCATGTTTAAATGTTGAATTCTGCTTAAGCTGGTGCTAGGTAGGGGGCATTGTCGGTAATTTGCATTTTCCAGAAAGTAGTCCGGCAAGACACCAGTGAAAATACGGAAAATATGTTTCACTGCAGTGAAAAATAAATTTTTACTGTGAAAATACGGAAAATGAAAATACGCATTTTATTTCATGAGTATTTATCAATATTTCATTTATAAGTATATAACAAATTGAAGTATAATTTTTTCTATTTTGCTACTGAATTGGTGTTTAAACATATGTTCAAAAGGAATTTATAGAAGTATTTAATTGCACATTTCAGGTCACCAGCTTGGTGGGCTTATGATAAATTCTGTACCGGAGTATTACACGGTAGAGGCATGGTACGGTCCTTATCTCTCACACATTTTAGCGGCAATAGGGGCTTCTGTGGGTAAGTAGAAGTAAACTTCTATTTAACCTTGCATTGATATGTTTAGATTGAAAATAAATTATATAGCTTATATTATCATGTAACTAAACCGATCCATAAAAAAATCACACTTTTTACACATATTAAACGGAATATCAAAAAATATAAAAATTGCAAGAATGTAACTTTTCAAAAGAAGTTTGATCTATGTTAAAAGAGCATGTAATTAATTCGGAAATATAGTTGTTTATATAAGAGAATTATTAACATGCTTTTCTCAACGATTTTGTGTCCTTAAATTTTCTGAACTAAATGTTAATGACAGGACATACTATGAATATATTTTGCTCATTTTAAACGTTATTATTTTCTCATTTTCAGGCGTACATCTTGCTTCAAACATAGGGCCACAAGAAGCACCATTATTGCAGCCACTTGTAGCCGCAGTTGCAACATTTCCAACTGCTTTCTTTCTGTATAACCGACGAACGCTCTATACCATGCTCTGCGTTATCGTAGCGTCGTATGTAAGTTCCGAGTATTCCCGATGGGTTACGAAGTCAAAACCGAGGACGCTGATTGGCTATTTGAAAACAGGTGCTTGTGTTGGATTGGGTCTCCTGCTATATCTTAGTTTATGGACGTCCAACATGTACCACAACGTGACGGTGAATACATTGAATGGGACAAGAGTAAGTCAATATAAAACCTTTCCTATCCATTTCAATGAAATCTAATCGAAAGCAATCTTTCGACCCGTTCCGACATATTAAAGTGAAGGACTTCGAGTAATCAATGAGGTGTTCTGAATAAGCAATATGGAGCTTAAGTCTTAAGTTTGGTCTGCTTTGTCTTTTTTTCCGTATCTTATTTTTATCAGGGAAACGTTCAGTTAACAAAATATTTCGTTGTTCTCGATCTCAAAGACGCTTATCTGATCGATATAAGCACGAGAATAAACGGAACACGGCGACCACTCACAAGAGATTCTGTATTGATTATATCATGCAAATATAAGGTTCAATCGCGAATCATTCTGCAAGAAATTAAACATTTTTTTTTATAAAAAGAGATGCTGGCATGCAAAAATATGACGTATAATATGAAGTCTTTTCTTATGTCTTCAAATTAATTACTATTACATTTCTTAATAACGTGTCAATTCCTTTCGTAAATATCTGAGAAATACAGTTTGTTATTTGTAAGCAGGTTTTCTACGCTTTGTTGTCCAGAAGACTCTAGTCTTGATTAAACTCTTACGTGAGATGGGAACGAAAAAGAAAATCATAATTCGATTGTCCGGTTTGCCAGAATTTTTACGTACTGGTCACAAAATGTCTTTTATCTTGAAGAAAAAACTTGTTAAGTTGTTAATTTCTGACAAGATTGAACGTTTTACTACTTCTTAATAATAGAGACATATAAATGTAGATGCATGTCTATCTCTGTGGCAATAATAACAATGTTTTGTATATTCATAAAGGTAGATAACTTTAATGAGTTTGCATTTTGTAAGTTGCACATAAAAAAGAGAAATATAACAAACTTGAAAGTCGAAGCGTGAATATACTCATGAAATGTTCATAAAAATGACCAATAAAATGTGTACTTCTTGTAGCATTTCTACAAACTTAATAACAAAGAACAACGACAATAAAAACAACAGTTTCATTGTTAAAAAAAGAACAGAACAACAATAACGATAATTGTAGCATCATCAATGTAAATAAAATGTATTTTTAAAGTAGAAAAATGATAAAATGTAGTATTTTTTTCAGTCATTATGTTACTATTTTTTGCTAACTAGCCACAATTATATAACGACATTAGCAATAAAAATACTCAAACTAACAAACAATCAATATTTAAGATTTTTTTTTATAGATAAAGGATTTATTTTCATCGAGTGAAAATTATCATATTTCATTGCAAAAGATGAAATTAAATCCTGTTTTTATAGAAAAAAAGCTTGTTTTTTTATTTTATATACATTTTCTCTCCTTTTTGACATTACAATTTGAAAGACACTAGTGATTATACGGAAAATATGATTCACTGCAGTGAAAAAATAAATGTTTACAGTGAAAATACGGAAAATGAAAATACGCAGTTTATTTCATCAATATTTCTGATTATTTCATTAATAAGCATTTAATAAATGTACATATGTTTTCAGATACATTTACGTGAAGCTGTGTACAATTTTGCTCGAACTCAGCCGTGGGACGAGGCACGCGAAGTAGCACAGGATCTTCTGCCATGTTTGAAGGTATACAGTATGGATGTGTGCCAATACCAGATGCTGAGCAGGTTGGCGGAAATATCCGATCCCCAGAGAGATTCCTGGGCGTTTGAAGTAAGTTTAACCGTCTTGAATTATATAATATAATTATATAAGTTATGACGTAATCTTGTATTTGTGACGTTGGTAAACCATAGCTAGAAAAAAGGAAGTACGCGTAACCGCTTTGTAACATGGCGGTTCGTGGGTCATTTCCAGTTATGAAAATCTCATTCTGTTACGACACTCACAATTCTGTCTACAGCTATCCAATATTTACTTTCATTTAAAAAAAATCACAATAAATGTATCATTTGTTTAAGCAGTCACTTTTTAATAATGTTAAAGAAAATTTAAGAAAATCTATGGTTCTACTCGTTTAGTGAGAAAGGGCATCACTTTGGTTAAAGGAAGTAAAACTATATATTACAGTATAGAGAGTATAACAAATGTAGTAACATCTATTTTAAATACATAAATATTTTATTCCCACAGGTCCTTGGATTTGAAAAGTATCCTTCACAGAAAGAGGTAAACTCGCATTGTCGTAAAATATCAAGTAAATGGCACCCAGACCGCTTTACGAGAGCAAACGAAACCGAAAAAGAGGCAGCCGAAAAGAAGTTCATTGATATACAGAAAGCATGCGGTATGCTGAGTAAATTGAAAAGCAGACGAGAACGGAAAAACACGTGGTCTGATTCTGACCAATCAGAAACTATAATTGTTACAGAAACTAGTGACGTCGACACAGACAATGATGACATAAACACAGAAGACAATGTCGATGATAGTCAAGATTATTACAATGGGGATAGTGAACAGAGAGAATATGAAGATTATGATGACGTAGATAGTAATGTAATTGACACAAGTAAAGATGGTAAAGATTACAATAATAATGATGAAGATGATGTCCAAAATGAATCAGCATGTGATCGTGATGATTGCGGGGAATTGTAGAGCAAATAAAACATCTAGTCCAAAGATTTGCACCTATTGAACTATAGAATTGTACTTAACAGTTATTTATTATATTTATTATACATTTTATGTTTTAACTGAATAAAACGATATGTAAATAAAAGCGTCAGGTGAATATAGGTATTTCAAATATAGATTAACAGTTTGGTATTGGCTATAAAACCTTTAGTAGTTTAAAGCCGTCTATCTCGATCATGGACTTTTTCATATGAAGACCCCGAAATGCCTCTCCAAACGTAATGTCATACATAAATGGGCACCGGAGTATGTAAAATCTTCAGAAATATTCATTACCTATTTCGATTTAAATTCTCTATTATGAACGAAAACAATTTAACAAAACTGAATCATTAAAAAAAAATCAGAGCAAAATATCATTATTAAGCAGATTTTTCTTTAATAGGCTGACAAATATAATTTATCATATTATCTGAATAGGGCTCAGATTGTTGATTTCGTTTCTTCCATGTATATTTTCTTATTCTACCCTGAGGTCAATTTTATCGGTCTTAAGAGGTCTATATCAAGATATTCGTTTTTGTTTGTCACAACTATTTTACTGATATCTGTATACTAGTAGACATCCTCGTTTACCACCACACATTGTTATAAGCACACGTTCGGATTTCTTACTAAAAGCTATCGCATGAGGTTTCCGTCCATCTTTTCCCGGCATTGGAATAATCGTCTCTAAACCACGCCCATCAAGGTGTGTCCTACTAACCCCATGTAAATTCCACGTGCAAACATAAATATAACCTTTGTGTCCAACGGTCACTCCTTTATAGTAACCATGAACATCAGTGTCTTTGCACTTGAATTTAACCTCCCCTGTGTTGACATCAAGACCGACAACTCCGTGGTTGTAATCCGAGACAAAAACTGTCCGAAATCTAGGATCTACGACAATGTATAAAGGGTATCTCAAATCCGCTATACCCGGCCGTACCCTCTTCCGGACTTCACCATTCAAGGACACAATTTGTATCTCCCGATCGCTTGAAAAACCGGAAGTGACGAATAGTTCATGATTATAGCACGTGATTCCGTAACACTCTATATCCAAAGGTACTTTCTTCCTGAGAACAAGCGTTTTTCCTACTTCCATAAATTGCAAGCTTCGTTCTGTTGGAATGGTCACGACAATCTGCTGGATTTTGATTGGTGCTACGTCATGTGGCGGGGCTGGAAGCTTATATACCGAAATAGGTTTTAGGGCAGGGTTAAAGAACTTGACATTTTTATTAGCTTCATCCACTAAAACAACGTTGTCGTCTGCCATAAATGAACATCCGGTAATATAGGGCAGTTCTGAATCCGTATCTAACTGAACAGAAATTTCACCTAGAAAACAATAAATGATATCTTAATAAAAGCTTAAGCTATTACTGTATGCGATGAACCGTATTGTGTTTTTTTGCTTAAATTTGTTTGAACACGTTAAGTTTTGCTCGAATGTAAAACAAGTTATTTCAGCTAATTTAAGTTTATTTCGAGACTGCTTCCTGGAACCCACCAGTACTGGTGTCACATGCCATCGCCCTTGTTTCGTTAAAAATGTAATACGTCCATAATCTCATATTTTTGTGGTAAAATTTTTTTAAACTCCAAATGAAATCAATTTTAAAACAGATATAAATCAATGTAAAAAAAGGTTTGATATTAATTTAGATAGAAGCCATTATTCAAAACTAAAACGGAATATCGGTATTTGAGTGAAACACAATTTTACTGAAAAGCCGCCTTTGAAGGCCATAGAAAAAGTAACCAACGTAAGCATTTCATTTCGTATTTTCCTTACCTACAAAGATCGGTTTCCGCGTCTTCATATGCGGGTGAAGTTCGATTTCTTGGAAGGTCGATTCTATATTTGGTAAACTTAGTCGAGTTCTCCCTCTTTCAGACCTATCTCCTGCAGTTGCACTATTTCTGTCACTAAACTGAACACTTGCGACGCTTGCTCTACGTTCAGCTGGCTTCGATTCGACTACCGGAAGTGGTTCTTTTGCAGACTGGTCTGCTTTCATTTCACCGAAGTCTTTCAGGGAGAGGAAGAATTTCCCGATTATTTTATTCGGTTCAAATGTCAAGAACACTTTCTTCGGTGCTGACGCTATGGTTTTGAGCTGTTCTTCGTATTTGCTCAAGACAACCTTTGATTTTTTCAAGGCAACAAATAAGTTTTCCTCGTCTGGGCCAAGGTAGGTACGGTCTAAATCTTTCTTGTAGTTGTCTAGCGTTGTCATCGCCGTCTTACATATCTGCTTGTGCTCTGTATACGAAGTCAGAACAAAAAATAATACACTTGTACTCAGATAAACATATGAAAATATCTATAAAAGAAAATTAGATATGATTCACAAATGACATAAAATGTTTTAACTTTGTTCAGGGAAATTCAAATAAAAGTCCATTTGAACAACTTGAAAGAACGGCATTTTTTAACGGCTGATTTGTGCTATGTTGTGCCATGTTGTATTTACACTCCGCGGGGTGCCGTATGAAAAAGTCAACAATAAGTTCTAATTTCGCTGTCGTTTTATTGTGTTTTCGCAATTCACAACAAGGAGCGTTAATACGAAATGACACAAATCAGCTACAATAATTTTATGATTTTGTTTCTTATCTTTCTATATGTATTTGATGTTGTTGCCTTTTCCTCGGCTGTAACATATTTGGACATAGACATGGTCCACTATTCTGATAGAATAAAACTCAAAGATGTTCATCCAATTTCAAAGTTTCTTAAGGTTCAATTTCGTGGATGATCATAAGCGCTGTGCTAAAACAATAATTAAAACTGTCTTATTAAATTTGTGTATGAATATAAACACACAACAAATAAACTCCCATATACAAAATGGTCACGCCCTTGTGATTAACTTAATTTTTGTTAAAAACATAGTGTACTCTCTGCAGAGAGACACTCTGTATATAAACAACCCCTCAATTCGTCCAAAAGAAAACAACAATTTTGACCTTTTTCAGAGCGACACCTTTTAACAATAACAAAAAAGTTTTGTTTTGCTTTGCGGAATTTATACTGTAAAACTAAACTTTTTATAGAACTGATATTATACATAAGCCTCCGAATATTTGAGATATGAAAATTACAATAATAATGTTTTCAAATAATTACAATCATTATGTTTTCAGTTAATAAAATATAGACAAGCACGCACACGAGCACGCATCCACGCACGTACGATTGCGCGCACGCACCCACACGAAATAAAAACACTTGGTGTGGACATTTAGATAATTTTGAGATTATAACCCCCACCTTTTACAGTATCTCGTCTCCTCGTTGTGTAGTTGTCTTTCTTGGCCATCACTGCATTCTCCAGACGATCTAACATTGCATTCAGCTCATTTCTAAACAACTTCACATCGCGTATGAATTCCTTCTCTTGTGCGGCCAAATTACTCAGGATATCAGACTGTTCCTTATGCATCTGCTCGTATTTTGTCACCAATTTTTTGATCCCTGCTTCTATAAGTGTACACTCTCTACCTCCCCTGATACCTGTTAAATATAAGAGATATGTACCAATCATGTTCGTGAAAACTCTGCAATAGTCGGCACTTTCCGTGAAATTTGGAAGTCACATAAGGAAAGATTCCGTCCTTACTGTAATGTGAAAACTCGGTGACTTTCCTAACCTTTCATGTATTAAAAAAGCACACGGCGACTGCAAAAGAACATTTACAACAGATATTAATTGGTTTTAGATTTCAAAACTTTACATTATTGTTTCAAATAATTAAAAGATTAGCCAATGAAACATAGTATATGGCCCAATTGCCAAAATGACAACACATATTTTTGGCTAAAACGATTCCAAGATTATTTGTTTGAAGATTCTATGTTTTGTTTTGTCCCACATGAGATATGTGAACGAAACTCTTTGAGTACAAAAGCAAGTAGACGTTTGTGACGCCGAACGTTTATGACGTCATTGACGTTAAGGACTGTGAATAGAAACGACGTCAAAACAAAGCGCATCAGTATACAGAACGGGGCAGTCAAATTTGAAGTCAAAGAAAATATTACAAAGTATTTATAGGACAAAAGATGTATTCAGAAATGTTACGGTTGGTTATATTTTCAACCAAACAATAGAAATATGGATAGAGGCTGTACAAAAGGTAAGTTATTAAACGATTTATAAGTTAAAACTAAAGCGAAAACAAATTTAAATTGTTAAATAATAAAATTTTACATTATGTGTACGCCCCCGTGAGGTTAAGAAATTTCTGGGATATATATTGTTAAACCATGAATTCATATAAATGATGAGTATATGTAAAAGTTATTTAATTAAATGAAGAATATCGGTCACTGCCCCTGTAAATGTGCAGGAGCAAAGAAAATTTAATGTCTTTAAATAAAATAGGTAAAATACAAATAAGAGCTGCAAAGATTATTTTAAACGAAAACACCTTGAATAAGAAATCAAGATATACTGAAAGATCTTGGGTGGATGTCGTTCAATGACCGATGTGATTTCATGAGATTCTGATTCATAAAGTTTGAAATAACCTAGCCCCTTCTTATATATCTTAAATTTTGACTTTCTCCAGCAATAAAATTCACAATATAAGATCTGAATCACATAATGACACAGTTATACCTAAACACCTCATAAACTATGGTAAAAAGACTTTTTGTTGCAAGATTTTGAATAGAATATCACTAAATATCCGTTCTTCTATTTCTCTGAAACTTTTATAATAAATGAAAAAAAACAACAACAACAAACAAAACAAAAAAACAAACATATCTTGCAGATCAAATTAATATCTCCATAACTCTGTCATGATGTTATATTACTAAGTATGCATGTACATTTGTTAAATTATGTGTAAATGAAATGTGTATGAATCATATTAAATATCTAAAAGGATCGTTTGTCAAAACAATCAAATTATGTTTGTTATGGGACCAAATCTTAACTGACAAATGAAAAAGTTGTAATTGTTTGATGATAGTATATCTTCATATGTTTACCTTCATATATTGTTTAGAAGGCCACATTAAAAATTAAGATATGTTTTGTTTTTTTACGATGTTATATCTTCATAATTATGTTACCATCTTTAAATAAAGATATTATTTTTATTATTATTATGATTATTATTATTATTATTACTACTATTATAATCATTATATAACGTTTGAATCTTTATATATATATTTTGGAGAAAGATATATTTAAGAAATAACATCGGCCTGAGAGGTGTATATCGGCTATTTAACACCGGTTTGGAGTTTTGATGCGTAGGAATTGACCACGAAGGCCACGACCACGAAGGCCGTTTATACTTAGGATGACGTCATTACGCTGCTTAAACGGATTGGCGCCGTTTTGTCAAAATATTTATTAACTGATATGGATCTAATACGTGGCATGAGTGTATGTGAGATATTATTTCGGTATTGTATGAAAAGAAAGCATTATACGAACTGAAAATATAAATAAAAATGCTTTTTATTGTTGCTTTAAAATGCTTTGCAAACTATACAATCGAGGGTGAAAACATAACAGCGCATATCCAAGTAGTCCCTATCCGGTGTTTATTGGCAGTTTAACACCAGTTTTTTACCTTCTATGTCTATAGTGACAAAATCACATGAGTGTTAGAATTATTATTGTTTATTGAAAGCATGAGTGAAAAGAATATACAGTCAAACCTGTAGATAAGGCTATCCAAAGGAAGGGCTGAACATGGTCTTTATAGATAAGTGGTCGTTATTTGGAGGTTAGTTTGTTTAAGTAATTGAATGGATGTGTTTAACACAGGTTTGTCTCTACAGTGTACATGTATGTTCTGAGGACCTTCACCAAACTAAGATGTTATAATTTACTAAAACTTTGGTTTCATTACAGAGTTACCAGCCTTAGACCATTTAGATGATGACGATGATGATTCCATTTTCGGAATCCTCAATGTCTACCAGCGGTCATCTTTACATACAAGGTAATGAAATAATTGTTACAACAACAACAACAACAACAACAACAACAACAACAACATAACAACAACAACAACTATAACAATAATAACAACCTAATAATCCAACTAACAACACGCCCTTCCTCCTCGCAAAAATAAATAATATAAATCTAAAATAAATAATGTACATTTAGTTGCAAATTTGTTTCTATAATATTTCAAAGAGTACATCAAATCAAATCGAACAAAATAATGAGATATGATTTTTTTGGGCTATTTTTCAGCCATTCAGCAAAGTTGGATGACAAGCAAGTTTCAACGAAGAACACTTCCCACATACAAACAAAGGTACAATTTTCGATAGATTGCTATTTTTAATCAAACAATTATATTGCATATATTAAATAATTCTTTTTTTCATATAATAAATCGTAATTCTGGTGGTTAAATATAATATATTATTTGTTGTGATAATATGCATATAAATGTACAATTCTCTTTGTATATATCACCATTGAATGCTATTTCGACCAACTCAAAACGTCAGCCGGTATTTTAAAAAATAAATACTGATTTATAGTATAATAATATATATAGTTTATATGTTAATTTGATTTTAGGACATTACAACAGCATCTTCTAAGAAATCAAAGTCACACGTACAGCTAGGAGCTGCTGACATGCTATGTCGTAAAATGTTAAGTAAGTTAGCAATATATATTCTATATTATCACACTGAAAGATTATTGTTTCCAAAAAAGATATAACAAATACAAATCATTTGAACATGACAAGAAGTTGAATATATTTCTTTTCGGCCAGACACTGTTTGTTTTCACCCTGACTTCCGGTGAAATACAATGAAAAGAAATGAATAAAAGCTGGATTTTTTATTGGCCGTTTTCAGAATTTCAGACATCTTGGAATGTCATTGGTCGCTCTAAGATTTATATAATAATAATAATAATAACAATAATGATAATAATAATAATAATAATAATAATAATAATAATAATAATAATAATAATAATAACAATAATAATAATAATAATAATAATAATGAATGTCGAAAACGATTGCTCTATTAAAGAGCTTATAAAATTTATCTAAATAAGTTTACAATTTTTTTTTCAGTAATAAATTTGCCTGATAAATCCCTTGTGGTATTCAAATATATACATGTATATTTGTTAAAATCATCAGTGTCATTATCATCATTAATATACATTATTTATTGTTAGGATATTTGTCGTGTGGCGGGGATCCTAAAGAAAAATATACACCAATCAAGCTGTTAGGCTCCGGGTAAGTACCGTCATCATATTAATGCATTATGAGAGCAAATATGTCTGTCTGTTTGTTTGTCTGTCTGTCTGTCTTTTTGTGGGTTAAATGTACTAAAAGCAAGGAAGTATAGCTTAAAGTATTTTGAGGACAAGACCATGTCGTTTCTATAGATATCACGGTTTACATGCACTACTCGAAGATACATGGGCTATTTTACTTTTTACAAATACCTCACTAATTACATTAATATACATATGTGTGAAATGCGAGTGCAATCGGAAATTTAGGTCCTTCTAGTGCAGCGGCTTTACCGCATATTTTATATATACAATTTTCATGTAATATTTTGCAGATCTTTTGGTCACGTGATTCTGGCCAGGGCAAACCTGTTCTCGTGCAAGGTAGCTATTAAGGTTATGGAGGTAGAAAAGCAAGCTTTTACAATGCTTGTCAACGAGATCACCATAATGAAGAAAATCAATCATGAGAATGTAGTAATGGCCTTAGATGCCATCTATGTGGAAGCGGTGAACAAGTTCTGGTTAGTTATGGAGTACGTACAAGGATGTACACTGAAAAAGATTACGAAAAGCGTCTCTTTGAAGGAGGAACATATTTGTTACATATCTAAGCAGTTCGTGAAAGGTTTGGATTATTTACACGGCGAGAACATGGTGCACAGGGATCTGAAGAGCAGCAATATTATGGTGGATATCTTTGGAATTGTTAAAATTGCCGACTTTGGTACCAGTTTTATCTATGATCAGGATGACAAGAAAAATGATAGGGTTGGCACACCTCGATGGATGGCACCGGAAGTTGTAACAAGGTAAAAATTGGACTATTAGAATTTTACTTTACTTGTACACAATATACCTACTTTTAAAATTTAAACGATGATATTCAAAATTTCTTTTGTTCAGTTTACTTTCTATAGAGTTTTAGTAATGGACATTTAAAATAAAAGAAAATCTTTAATTTAAATTAAAATAGAAAAAATGCACCGAAGAAGTTATCACAGCATATTCATGCATATAGAACAATTTTATTAGCAACTTACAAAAAATCATAGAAAATCCGCGCATGTAAACATAATATTCACACCAGATAACCAAACATAAGGTCTGTATAAAAAAAAAACAATATCAAATTGAACTTTGCTGAGAATTATTCGCAGTTGTCTGAGTTTCTAATAGAGTTACCTCCCTTATTTTGCAGGAAACCGTACGATTTTTAAATCGACATATGGAGCTTGGGAATCACCTTGATTGAAATGATTGACGGGGAAGCACCCTACATAAATGAGGAACCAAACCAGATATTTAAACTTATTGCAAGAAACGAAGGACCAAGTATACAGAAGTATGAACAACTATCTGACGAACTGAAATCTTTCCTGGGCGCGTGTCTTGTTGTTGATGCAAGTGATCGAGCCACAGCACGTGACCTTTTGAACCACGTGTTCTTAAACGTTCACTCAGTTCCAGTAATTGCTGAGATCGTTAAGAAAAATACCAAGTCATCTTCTTAGATATGTTGATACATTTATAATTGATAGACACAAGCATTATATATATGTTGTTTTTTTATTGTGAATGATGTTTTTCACAAACGTTATAAATGCCTGAAATATACAGATCGTTGTTTTCACTATTTTCTTATTTTCTTGATGACACTGTACGTAATCATAAATCTAAAATTAGATAATGTTACTCGTTGTTCTATGTTTGGAAATATTGCAAACAACCATTTATATACGGCCATATAACCTGTCAGAAATATTTAAAAACGAACTTATAACACAGCAGGCATCTGAGATTTCTTCATAAAATGACAACAGGCGTGTGTATAAAACTATATTAATGTCACGATTATCCAATTAAAAAACGACGTTACAACGTACTGTGATATAAAAAGTTGATGTAACAATTATCACATGAATATACACGTATAGACGGACACAATGAAATTATGCCCTACCTTTTGACGCTTCATCCAGACTCATAACTTCGTTACATCTATTGTGTACACTCATAGAGCAGACGTCACATAGCAGCTGATCGTGGTCAAGACAATAACGGGAGATAACCTCTTCATGATCCAAACACCGTGTCGGCCATTTTGCCAAGAATTTGGCGGTAGACTCTGCCGTCCTGTCAGTCGGTTGAATAGTATGCAGACGTGGCTCCTTTCGTGACGAAAGCTTCTTACGTGCCGCCATGACACTTTTTTTCTAAAATATATTCTTTGTTTTTTTTTTCGATTTCTAATATCTATCAAATATAAAAGTATGAAGTAAAGTTAAACATGTCCTCTATGTGTGAAGATGTAAATTTAGTTTAAGGTTAAACTGTTTAAAATAGTTTCAATTTGTATATAACATTTCATTATCCGATCTAGCGATTCGCTTTTTAATTTTTCCTAGGTCAATAAATAATTGTATTCGCCATTAAACAGCTCAAATTATTTTCTTTTATAAAGGTTCACAACTTTTTTAGTGCAAAATACATTAAAAAATGGAAAAGAATTCACTTATTCCATATACAGTTTAAGATAAAAGCATAAAACTTAAAATGATTCTTATTATTCTTCACTTTAAAATAAAATAAATTGACCTTTTAAAAAATCCAAAAATATCAATAGCAATAAGATAATACTTCTTATCGTTTTGAATATCTATAAAAGATAAAAGAACACTTACGTTCCTTTTAAATACCTGTTCCAAATTCCCAAATATTTGAAACAATATATGTACTAAAAGTAAAAGAACTAGGCCATAAATTAAATTCTATATGAATGAAGTATAGGCTAAAATGTAATGTACAATGCTATTTGGTTTCACGTATTTGAAATAAGAACAATGTGGCCATTCACACGTGAAAATCGTGCTGATTAGGAAGCGTACCACTTATTTAACGTAATCATTGAACTAAGGTAGACAACACCTATGAACTTTGATTTATTTTTGTATTTTTTTTTCTTTAAAGTTTTCGATTTAAAACTTTTTAATTAACGTGAATCAGAGCATTAAATAAGGTATTTTAGTGTTATTCGTATTCTTTCTTATATTATTCACATGCGGACCCAAAAGTTTGAATAATATCCCTTTTCTTTTAAAACCCATAGTTTTTTTTTTCATTAATATTGTGTTTAATCCTTTTGGGGCGAGGCATGGCGGCGGGGAGGGTGGTATGGGGTTGGTAAAGGGGTTAGGGCAGGGGGGTGAAAATCTAAGGGGGTTGTACAAAAGGGGCTGTACCTTCTTTTTAATTTGGGATGAACCCCCCAAAAAGCTTTGTGGGCCTGTATTGATGTTTGATGTTTTGGCGTGGGAATTTTTTTTTGGGAATTAAACCCCAAAACTTTGCCAAAAACCCCATATGGGAAATATAAGAAGTGAACCTTTTTTATTTTAATTTAAATTTTTAAATTCATACTTCTTTTTCAAATGTTTTTTACAATCAATGTTTTTTTTAAAATTTTTAAAACTTACTAGAGAGTAATAAAATAACACCATAACCAGGTAATCCAGGTATTTATAACTTCAAATGATTATAACAGGAGATACTTTGATAATTTATGAGAGACTAAAATGATTGTGTACATATACTAGATACATGTAGAGGTATGTTCAGATATTATGCATGTATATTTTGTAATATTATATATTGTTCAAAATTTATTTGTAATATATGTACCACATGGGTTTATGACCTTCTGGTTTGATTGAATAAAATCTTGAATCTTGTTAAAAGCTATAACCTGATAAGTAAAATGCAGAACATTTGTAATAACCAAAACCAAGCATCTGTACCAGAGCTTTAATCTTAAAATGGGAGAAAACTCTACTTCAGGTTCATTTCTGAATGGAGCAAGATTTATTTACCTTGGTACGTCTTTAGCTATCCTTGGTATGAAAGTGGCACTTGGTTCACAAATTACTTTGGCAAATGGGCATTCTTTTTCTCTGTATTATTTCAATGCTTATACTTTGACAGATGACCACAGGGGTCAGTAACAATCAATCAAATTTGATAAATGAATTCCTATATTAAAAAAAAAATCAGACGCTTAACTCCCAATCATGCTAACGCTTGTCCTCTTCTTGATACAATTGCTTTTTTAAACGACCATTTTATATATCGTTGATATATAACAAATCCATGTGGACGCTATAAAAGACATATAAAGCAATTGGTTTGACAATTCAGTAAATTGAGTCGGTATTTTATATCAAACAAACATCCCTTGACGGTGCCCCGGAGGTTGGAAGAAGCCACACAGCTAATACAGTGTACTTGTATATTTATTATTTTCCTAGAGTATAGATAGAAGGCAAATACCCGAGGAATAATTCTGTTGTATTTGCTTATCATCAACCTCCCAGTGTTCTGCCAAGGGTCACCCAAAAGTAATCAATGAAAAATAATGAAAAAAATTCTAACAAAGAACATGAATTCCCCATTTTAAAGAACTGGATTGAACACTGATTAACAACAACAACACCATCACCACCCCCACCCCCACCACCACCACCAACAACAACAACAAAATCAACCACACACCGCCCCACCCCCCAAAAAGAAATATAAGAAGTAACAACAGTAACAGACAAATTTAAACAGTTATTAAAAGCAGGCATTCCACTAACAAAGGGGCCAAACAAGATATTTTACTTTTTATTTGTTCGGATGTAAAACAACTAAAAATGTAAGGTTTGGTCTGATAGTTGTCGCTATATTCTTGAGGTGGTTTTAGTCACTGGTTTTGAAAGTACAAATACGACAATTATTGGTGACTTGCACAATCTGTATGCTAAAATCTCTAAAAAGGGCGAATTTCAAGTTTTTACCGGACAGAAAATACCCTTCTAACTTAAAAGAGTTCAAAAAGTGTCCATATGTACATGAATACGTTGAAAAAAAGTGCACTGTGGTAAAGCGATTATAGGCCGAAGGGCCGGTGTTTTAAATTATTTATAATTTTTTGAATAAAGTTTATATAATTGTAAAACTAAAACATTATAAAAATGGGCTTGTTTTCTTTTTAACAAAGGGGGATTTAGAATTTTTTTATCTCAAACTTTTTAAAAACAAGTTGTCCAATAACCTTTGGTTCGAATCCGCGTTTCAATTTATGTATATGCTAGCTTACGAAATGTTAGAAATTCTGTTAAAGACTGATTGAGGCATACGAGTACAACAAATTTGGTTTATCTGTTCTAGATGAAAATTTAGTTGAACAACGTTGAGGAAATAATTGACTCTTTTTTCAGTATGCGGACTGTAGACTAGATGGCAATTTTTTTTACATAATTGATAATTAATTAATTAATTAATTAATTAATTAATTAATTAATCAATTAATTAAACATTCATTTGAACAAGGCTGAGGAATAATGATTATTTCTTCAAGTGTAGTAGTGTATAAGTATGTGCTTTAGAATCGAACCTCCGATATTTTTTTACTCTCCATAAGCCACTTTGTTGTCTTTGTTCGTCGGTAGAATAGTTTTGCCATTCAAAATTAATTTTTTATGTCGTTTTTTGATAAGTATAAAAACAAAAAAAAAACTCAGCAAAAACACCCCCCCCCAAAAAAAAAAAAAAAAAAAAAAAATAAAATCAAAAAAACAAAACAAACACCTCCCCCCACACAATAAAAACAAAACAAAACCATTTTAAAAACAACAACGACAAGAACAACAAAACAACAACAGCAGCAACAACAACAACAACAGCAAATAATAACAACACAAAAAAACCCCAACAAAACGACAACAAGTAATCAAAACGAAAAACGAAAAAAAATCTTATATTCAGTTCTTCCCTGTAAATTTTACAGGGAGTCAAACTAATATTAGACAGACGGCCTTCGGCCGAACAAAAAAAAGAAAGAAAAAGAAACAAAACCCCCAGTAAATAAAACTACAATATAAAAACAAAATACACCATCAACAATATTTCATGACATTCTGGACATCCCATTACACGATTAGCTCATTCAGAATGCAAGACGATATATACAACGACGTTTCTCATGACAACTAATATATAGCATCATCAGTGGTATAGATGTGTAGTGAATTACATGCAAGTCCTTTGAGAGAGCCACACATGCCACTGAAAAATATTATATCAACAAATAATGAAATAATTGTGACGTGTTGACGTGCCTTGATTAATCACTTGAGCTGTTTTGTTTCATATTTCAACAGGAGGATTGGGGACAGTATATGGCAACGTGTCTTTGTTCATTTGTCAGTTTGGAAATGCGAATTAGCCGTAACAATTCATCATGATTACTAATCATGGAAATGAATTCTTGTGGGAAGGTTTAAAGGAACTCCACTTACGTCAAGAATCATAAAAATATATTATTTGAATTTCTTATATAAATCAAAAGAAACACTAATGATAAAAAATTGCAAAAGTTAATGATAAAAGAGACTCAAAATTAAATTGAATATGAGTCGCGTCACGACAAAACCAACATAGTGCGTTTGCCACCAGCATGGATCCAGACCAGCCTGCGCATCCGCGCAGTCTGATCAGGATCCATGCTGTTCGCTGTTTCTCTACTTGTAATAGAGTTGGTAAGCGAACAGCATGCGGAAGCGCAGGCTGGTCTGGATCCATGCATGTCGACAACGCATTATGTTAGTTTTGTCGTGACGCGGCTCAATATTAATTTTTGTGCGATTCTTACACTGATTTCTGTCATGTTTTCCGGATAAATTTCGTTAAATAATCAATTGTTGCATGCTTTAATCGTCTGGTTGTTCCGACACATACATTTAATTATTACATTGCAATAGCTTCGATGAAAACTGATTTTTGCTTTTTGGCTATTCAACCAAAAGATATTTTGGAAGCGAAAAGCATTCTGTAGAGTGCTAAACAACTACATTTTCTGGTAGTTTTAATCACTCTGAGGATGCCCCACGAATCTCCCTTCGTGGTGAACTTAGAAAAAAAAAAGAGGCTGAATCGAGAAGACAAATTGGCGGCCATTCATTTAAAAAACAAAAACAAAAACAACACACACACAAAAACATTTGACCAAATTTTATACTGTTAAAAAGTACTGATACCTATGTTACAATACAAATTTCCTGGTCATGTGGAACAGTAAGAATAACTCCCAGTGGTCTATGGGAAAATGACATTACAAAATAGTGAGGGGTAATAATATTAATTAATAAGATAACAGAGACATCTTCTGAAT